TCAAATAGCGCTTATTATTTAACTTAGACTATTACCCGGACCAACGGTTGATGTTCCCGATGGTTTATAAGAGACGATATAATTTACAAGGAGCTGAACTCGAATCCACATCAACACCTTACAGTAGTTTTGATCCATCTAATCAAGTATATTCATTATCTTAATACATTGCCCTGGAACGCTTTCCAGGACAGAAAACCGAGGAAGTATGTGATAAGTTCATTAATATGGTCGATGTCATTGAAGCTGCGACTACTTCAGATTTCAGTGTTGATGAGCTGCATTCAATATCTCTTGACTTAGCTGATCGTTTATGTTTGGCTAAGATCAAAATAGCTTATGATCGAGATGCATTAGAATATCGACTTTACCGTTACAAGCCAAAAAAGCCACTTAAAACATTTCGGAACTACAAAAATAATGGTTCGTGCTCGTCTCGGCAAGAGCTACCTTATTAGAGATTATATTGAAGAAAATTTCGAGGAGATGATCAATGGATTCAATCGTAAAGTTACTAATCGTGGACAAATGATTATTATCAAGAGTGGAATGGAAATGATGAAAAGATCAATGAGCACATTGAAACTTAAGCGACCGATTACTGGTCAAGAAAACTACCTTAGCGGTTTTTTGTTTGATCAATCTCTAAATGAGTTTTGCTATGTTTTGGAAACTCTTGGTAAATTGTTGGATAATTTTCGACCTAATAGACGAACTCCTTTTAGCTTTAACGCTGATGGAAAATTCACCAAACAAATTAACGAGTTTGGACTTGGAATGAAAAAAGATTTCGAGATGGAAATTAACTCACAAATTGAGAAATTGAAAGAAAAGATCAAAGAAAACGAAGAGAATTTAGAATCGATAAAAGACGAAAAGATACAATTACGGTATTTAATATCGATAGTTAATCGAAGTAAATTGATTCCAATTAAAGAGATCGAATTGGACGAAAAAGATGAAATTGAAATATTACGAGAAATAATTGAAGAATATGAATATATTATGATTTGTTATGGACCAATCGATTAATTTATCAGTTTTTCTTTGAAATTTGAAATATTTATTCATCTGTTATATTTTTTGTTTGATTTATTTCTTACGAGAAAATTATTTCATTGAGAGATTTAAACTTTGGATCTTTAAACTAGAATTATATCTCTATAAGAGGTTTGTAAAAAAGTCCTCCGGCTAGTTCATCAAATAGATAACATGTAACTTTTCTCAAAATTTCAAATATTAATACATTATTGTATTAAAATTAAAACAAAAGTTAAAACTTATCCCCGCGTTATGTCCTTGAATTTTCCACCCAACTTCGGAGAAAACAGTCTAAACTGATCTAAATTAATCAAAATACTGACCAAGTAACTAATGCAGTAAGTAATTAACAAATGACACGTAAGAAAATTGATAAGGTTTTCTTGGGTTCTGAACCCTCGAGATTATAAATTTTACTATTAATAGATTCGCCTCGCTATTTATTATCCTGAAGATCGAGTTTACTACCTGTTGTGCTTACCCAACATGTCAATATTCATCTATGAATTGATAGATAGTTTTTACAGGTACCATAAGGCTGATTAGTGAGGTATAATTTAAAAGAATAAAAAATATGATTAGGTTGGACCACACTATCGTAGGGAACTTTATTTTAATTCTTGATTTAATTAGTTGTTCGATTTTTAATCACTATCTCAAACTATTAACCTAGTCGACAAAAGGTTGGACTCAAATTTTGATTCATTATTTCTCGAAAGTTAAATTACTTAGGATTATAAAAATATATCAATCGATAGATTAAACATTGAAATTTTGATAAGTCATGATTCCATTTTCGGAAGAGTAGGTCACTTTTGGACAATGTTTTTCATTGAGCTGCGAAAACATTGCCTATTTTTTATTATTTTGAAAAGTTTCAGCCCAAATTAAAAAATACGAAAAATTTTTTAATCTATGCATGAGCTCAACCAGAAAATGAACAGAAAAAATATAAAAAATTTTAGGCAGAAACGCCTGTTGTCCTTTGATTTAAAATCAAACATCTAAATTTTCTAGAGCTCTCGATCTGTTCCTGTTGTTATCAATTTGTTGATCATTCATTTTATCGTTTATATTAATGTGTAAATGACGAACTTTAAAAATAATCCTTTTAAATTGGTGTAAGTCAATGAAAGCTTGATGAGAATCAATATATTTTGATATCAACTAATCATTCATTGATTATGTCGAAACTATTCACTGACTACCTGCTCGAACAAAATAATCAACAGGAGACTTCTCTTTGGCGATTAAATTAAATCCAGGAAATCTTTTCATTAGAAACAGAAACAAGAGATCAATCATTTGCGGACTTGCACAGTAGTCGAGAATCGATATTACTTATACTGTAGTACATATCATAGAGAAAGGATTAGTTCCAATTTAGTAATATTAAATCAGTTTAATCGTGGAGTAATCAAAGACATGGAAGGTTCTAATGGTCCGAGTGAAATTAATAATTCAATTATTCTTGCTGGTTTTATATTTCCATCGAGATGGATATTCTCATCTTTACCTAAATGGTTCCTAATCGTGGCTATCGGTATCATTGGCGATCCAATCACTTTTCTATCAGCTGATTGGTACGAGTTTTACATCGAATCGAATGGACTATTTTCGTTCATGTTGGCACGTAGATCAATTATGCTTCTAATAATGATTTCACGTCTATTTGTTGTGTTCTCTTTAGACTGGTCAAGCTTTCGTGATTACTTTCTATCTTAGTAATCTTAGTCTCGATACAAATTCTGTTCTGATCATAAAGCGAAAACGTCGAATTAAATACATTTATCTAATAACGATACTTTCTTTCCATATTCTCTATATTTTCTCCAAAACATTTTGATAGTAAACTTTTAAGTTTGCCATCGATTGTAAAATTTTCTCTTCATGTTTGCTTCGATATTGGAAATTCATTCTTTTTAAACATAGTCATTGATTCTTGTATTTGTTTAGAAGCTATTTTTGACTCGATAAATAAGAATATTAAAAACTTCTCCTGTCATGAAACCCCGGCAATCATGTTAGAAAAATTGAGAAAGATTCGATTAGGTTATAGTTACGCCGTATTAGCTTCACAATCAATCGAAAGTTTCGATATTTCATAACCATATTATATATTCACGCTGGAGTATTTGGAATTGTAAATGTCGTTGATACTTTTGGTCATCCAAAGAATTTCAATTTCATTTGGATTCTTTTTATGGTTGCTGATTTCATATTAATCGCCTACCTCACAGCTCGACTGGTTTCGATCAATCAAATTGCGATTTATGGATTAGAAGACTTATACAATATCTCTTTCTCACCAAAGTCACAACAATTACAACACGAGGTAAATTTCACTTATGATCAGATTGATTCTATTACTGATAATCTCTTTTCTGTTTACACAATTAGCATGACATCTTCATAAATCGAATCCTTTGGAAAAATGTTGGATTTACCTTTGGAAATTTATTTGTGATTAATACCAATTTCATCACTTCAATGTTCACATTGACACTTACAATAAGCATTACTCTGGCCAATTTCCTTCACAAATGATTTCCCGTCGCAATAAAATCTCAAAATCTCATCAATTGTCATTTACTTGCGAGTTAAAATACATGTATTAATATAAGCCAAATTGATAACTTACTGTCTTGTTCAATTTGATTTAATACTGAAATAAAATTCAATAAGAGAAATTCCATTGAATCTCATTCATCAGCTTGAAAATGATCGCGAAGTGGCTATTTATTGATTTATTTCGTCACTAGGCTAAAGTTTAATATACTTATATAAGTTCCAATATTGATTTGTTCATTACTTTTATCTTTTGATGAGTTATCAACATGCTTATGTAATATGAAATAGATGTTTCTTTTAATATGTTCATACAACGAACGCTCTGGATTTACCTTCGGTAATCTGTTCGTGATAAATACTAATTTTATCACGTCGGTGGGCAAATCGGCAGTTACGCCAACTCTTCGCCTTACTCTCATTAACTTTTTCTATTTCTGCTTCCACTGGTCACATGCTGAGTTCGTGAAAAAATCACCAAATCATCAGAACCTAAACAGATCATAACAATGGTATTGCTCGAACCATTCAATTGATTTACTTGCAACTAATTGTTGAAAATGCCTCCAAAAGAATAGATTAGAATTAAATTCATCAGATGTCTCTACAGTTGTAACGTTGATTAGATAATAAAAAAATAGTAGTAATGATTAGTTATAGTTGATAAGGGGCATATTAAATCCGCCCTTCACCCAAAAAATTTTCGCTTATGTTTCTGAATCAACTTTTTATGCTGATTCCAAAAATGGAAACAAAAACTGATCTTATCTGATTGTTTTGTCTCATTAATTAACAAAATTAGTCTCTGTATACTTACAGCATCTCTATGCAGAAATTTAACATCTCAAAAAGTAAAAATTGACGAAATTTTTGTATTCAGTAAATCATGTTTACTCAGTAAATTTGATTGTCTTATTTGTGCGATTGGCCGATTCCCTATTCTTTTTGATATCCTCTTTTGCTAATTATTATCAAGCAAATGATTTGATTATCGGTTTAATTATCAGCAAATCCATTATTGTCGTTTGAAAGTTTCAACAATTAAAGTAATTATTCTCACAACGTTTTCCTAATTATTGTACATTCGAAATTAATTTTTACTCTGAAATCTTCTAATTATTAATGATGACATTTTGAAAAGAAATGACTAAAATGGTTTCAAAATGATCTCAGGGCGATTTTCTTTATATAAAAGTAGGCATTAAGGTCTAACTAATTCCATGGCCTTTGCCGCACTCCTTTGGTCTTCGACGTTGCTTAAACGAAAGGCGTTGTTTTTGCCTGGTAATGATAATGATATCAAATTGTTACAAATCTTATCACAATTTAACCGGTAATTTATTGATAAACAATTAAAACAATTATCTACTTACTACCTATTCATTACAATTCAACTACGTTAACAAGTTGCTGCATAAAAAAGTGTCACCATCACCAAGTATCAGCTTGAAAATGTTACCTTTATTGTTATGTCTTTTTTTGATGATTATTTCTGGTAATTCAGGTAAGCTTATATTAAACTTAGCTAATTGTTAGCAGTTGATTAATATTTCAATCAAATTATTTTACCAGCGTCAATTACTTCATTGATGGACTTACCGTTGAATCTACCAAGGGGTAATTACATTATTCATGCAACGTTAAAAGACTTGGTAAATATTAATCAATGTTTTAATCTGCAAATTGAAACTATTACTAAATTAGCTGATTGTTACTATTAACAGGGCAATGGAGATAGATACTTTATGCAAGAGTTTATTTCATCGACATCAACAATTAACGGAATGATTGTAGTTGATTCACCTAAAAATACATTCAATGTTTATTACAATATGAAGGACGGAAACGGGAAGGACAGTAATGAGCGTCAAGTGATTATGGGTAAAGTTTCCTAAATTATTAGATTAATTATCACTTTTTATTAAATTAAAAGTAATTGTTGACTTTTTTCTGATAAGGTATCGATTGTTATTTATACAAATTGTCGAGCTCTCAACTCTTACCTGGGATCAATAAGCGATTGACGAGTTTGTTAGTAGCCATGGGACCATCGATACTTTATCGTCTCGGACATAATTCACTAATTTGGGTAACGTTGAATATTAAGTCAATCACAAAAATTACTATCTAACTGGTTCGATTTTCAATCTAATCAACAAATCAGGAAAAGAGTGCGGATAAAAATGTGAGAGGCACAATGATGAAAAGTTTCAAAACCAATATCAACTATAAATTGAATATCACTTATTATTACAAATGTAAGTTAATTATCACTTCTTGATATTTATTTATTATCTTTGATTAAATTTCAATTTTTCCTGACATTTTCCATATCAAATCAGCTAACTTGGATAAAGAATCAGGTCTACAAGCACCGAGTCGAATTGCTTTCAGTGGGAGTAACCCATCTGAAGCATATTCAACGAAAGAAAATCTAATTTTGGATATTTACTTACAAGAGATGGACGCGACTAAAGATTTATCGAAAATTGTCAACGTAAGATAATTCAACAAAAGCTCTTCAGTAGTGAACTTATCAATCGCCTTTGTTTCACAGCCACTTCAGGACTCGGTTGTTCAGCTTATTATGAAGATACTTCCTCTTCCGATGTTGGATTTCTATTTTGTCCATTTCATACTTTCGGAAACAATTACTGGTCCAACAACTACTAAAAGTATCAGCGAGGTAAGAGAGATCGGATTAAGTCATCGCCGATCCGATAATAATGTTAAACTCTCTTTTATATTAATAGATACATGCTGATGGTAAGCTCAAATTGATGCGTTTGAAAACATCACTTCTTGGCATTGAAACGGAAGCTCTTTATGACTATTCACTTGGAATAGTTAATATATTTCAAGATGGCGGATCTTGTAACATCATGTTAGCTGAAAAAACATCACCTGGTATTGATCAATCCACTGGTCAATTTAGTTTGATAACATTGTTTATGTTGGAAGGACATTACAAGTATTTAGGTGAAATGTACCTTGTAAGTTAAACATGCAAGTTAATCTTTGACGATTAGTTTATAATCAAAACTCCTTTTTGTTTCTTTTCTCAGGAATATCGACCTGGATTCGTGGTGAAAGCATGGGAATCAATCCAGTATGATACTATTACTAATAACGACAAATACGATAAGGTTGTGGTTACTCAATATTTCACTGAAACTGTAAGTTTAAATCTTCTGCATTAATGATTAAGATAAGCGAAATTTCGTAACAACTTGAGCTAAAACTACGAGGATTCTATGCAATAACTTGATATCAAAAAATTAAGTCTAAATTCCCATGAGGTGTGAATATAATGATCTGAGGATCCATTCATGAGAAATTCTGCCAATATGAAATAGTTAAATTTCCCTATCGTGAAGCGGTCAATTTTAAAAAGAGATCGAGAGAAAATAAAGAAAAGAAAGAAGTGAATTTATGACAGAATTGGTTTAACTGAATCCCCGATTATTAAGAAAAAAAGTTTTATAACAAATGATTCTGATCAAAGTATCTTAGCATTTAAATATTCGGGTCTCTCAAATAAACAAACTTTTGTCAGAAAACTGTTAAATAGGATCTAAATTTTTCAATATTTGATAGATTTTGGGGTAAAGGTCATGCTACAGAAAATTTATATTATTACAAAGTGTTTCCTCTTTTTTGTTTTGAATTGATTAGTCAATTCAAAGTTTCGCTGTATTTTGAAAAGCTTTTATTAATTATTATTTTCTAAATCATTTAGACCGATAATAGCGTTTTTCGTGGATACATGCTTGTTGCAACGATAATTAACTGTTACAAGTTAGATGCCAAGGTAATGTAATGCTAAGTTCTTGATTGACTCGTTGAAGATTAATTCTATTAATATCTAATATTAGAAAGAGAAGTATCAACTTGTTGAAGTTATTCAGAGAGATTACTTGGATTTCCGCGTTTCAGATATTGAATCCGAATTTCATGATAAGTTTTCATTAGCTGGATGTAAATATTTCTCTGGTGAAAAGACGCTTACCTTTCAACTAGGATGTCAAAGTAAGAAAATGTTTGTTCATTGAAATTGAAGGCCGAATATCAAAGCATTAACCTTTTCATGTGGTCAAACTTTTAGCACCGAATTGTATGAAGCTTGCTGAAGATAATGTGTACACGTTGACAGACCGCTTGAGAGATTCACTACTCTACGGATATGACCTTAGTCCATTAAGACTAAGTGAAATGGATGTTACTTTCAGTACTTCGACGATTGATATCAGGATCGATTTTCTTGAAGCACCAAATCTACTAGGTGAATACATTATAGCCCAACTGCTATTTTCAACCCTCGTTTCCCACTGAACAAAAATTCGATCTCTTTCGTATCAGATGTATTTTCCCCCAGAACATATTTTGTTAGCGATGGTACTTTGAAGTCACTGTCACGAACTATTAAAACTGCAGGAGAAATTGACTGTCTAAGCCGACTATCAACTGATTATTCTGATTTCGAGTGAGTTTAATAATAATAACTTTTATTAGATTGAATTAATTTTCTTATTGTTTTATGTTCTTGCAAAAAGTGTTGTTCTCTTCTGTCCAACGCGTAATACTTGTGGTACCATGAAAGGAATCGAAAATGTCAAAGAAGATGCTGAAAAAGGTCAAGTTTGTCAAGTGTTCCAAATACCATTACACAATTTAAATCGAATGATTCGAGAAATTTCAAACAAAGATCTTCAGTCCCGTTTACTTCGAGATACAGCTTACAAAACTGTCTCACTGACTGATAAATCCTGGAGTAGGTTTTATATCGAACTTTTTGTCTTAATTTCTAACCATTTTATCCTTTTTCTTCAGCTTCAATCAATTACAAAGTAATTGATATTTTGGATGAAACTCGAGACAAAACTGACCATTCAAACGATCTGTTTTACCTTTCTCATTCTGGAGAGAAATTAAAAGCTGAAGATCCAAATGTTGTTGTTGTGGCAAATGTGAAGACATTTGCCGACTGTTATCGAAATTGTAAAAACTCAGATGAATTAGAATGTCGAACTTTCTCTTATTGTTCTGGAGAGAAGACAAGTGAATGTGCAGTGACGAATATGACCTCCGAAAAAGCTCCAATTGATCTGACCAAGAGTGACTCAAACTGCGCAGTTTATACCAAAAACAATTTACTCGATTACTCAGTGATCAGAAATCGTCAATTCAAATCACCATCTTCGATCCCACTAGAATTGTTTGTCGATCAATGTGCAGCAGAATGTAGTTCAGATGAAAACTGTGTCTCATTCCAAAGTTGTGGCTCAACTTGTACCATGGGTGGATTTTATACAGATTCGAGTACCGAATATGATTCTGAATGCGAAATTTACATTCGTAAGTCTAATTAGTGAAAGTGTTAGAAAAAATGAACAATTATTATATGACTATTGTTTCCTTATTTCTTTAGCCAAAGTTTCGAATATGTATCAGGCCACAGGAAGAAAACTTGTATCGGAAACTTTTCACGTCGAATTCAATTTAAATTATGATCAATGTGCCGCTTTATGTTACAGTTGGACTGATGATTCGGACTCTTGTCAATCGTTCAACTTCTGTCCATCAGGTCGATCGACAAGTACTTGTTCATTGTCGAAATACTCAGTCAAAGATTCAAAGACTGCAACCACAGATGCAACGAGTTGTTACAATTACGAACTAGTTAAAAGCTCGAATACGAAAAAACAATCAACTTCCATGGTAAAAAAAGGTACCAGCGGATCAGCAGCATTTGGAATAATTTTGATCTTCATAGCCACTGGTTTCTTATTCGGCATTGGACTTCCAATTGCGTATTTGAAGATAAAAAATCGAAGTACTCAAAGTTCAAGTAATGGCCAAAGTTTCACTTGGACTCGACAAGTAGACGATGAACAGCCAGAAGCTAATTGAATCTCCATCCAAAAAGGCAATTGGTAGTTTCAACTTGATCTAAATCAATAATTAATGTAACTCTTAAAATTACAATTGAAAAAATTAAGTAAATTAAATATTATTTTTACCATAAATATTCATTGATAATCGCTGAATAAACTCCATTGCTATTGATAACTTTTCTGGCATTCATCTAACCAATTAATAATCAATGCATTTGAATTATTTCCCTTGGAAGATATTAATAATAAGCCAAATGCTTGTACATACATATTCAATGAACAATGAAGTTGCAAAAGTCTTACCTGATCCCTGGCCGATTAGTTTGAACGCCAAGGTCAACATTGTTTATTATCGTATGAGAAATGAACTTTTATAAGCAATGATACGAAAAACTTCAACTTAAATCATTTTCTTACTTTTCTTTTACTTTTACTACCAGAATATTTCATAGAATCTTCGTAGTTTTAACTGCAACTTTTTGTTTCGCTTGAAAATTTTGCTTGATCTTTAATGTAATAGATTCTTATTCCCCCGAGAAAATTTTTTTAATAGGTAATACAAATGTTAAAATATTTAGTTATCAATTCATTAGTATTCACCGATTGACACTTTTTTAGTTTAATGGTTGTTCATCCACCTGCCGTGTCCAAGCATAATTATCGTTTGAACTTTGACCACTTCGAATGGTCAATATTTTTATCTTTGAATATGCAATTGGAATTCCAATGCCGAATAAGAAACCGGTGGCTAAGAAGAACAAGATGATTACGAATGCTGCTGATCCACTGGTTCCTTTCTTCACATTAATAACTGGACTTGAATGTTCGTGTCTAAATGGATCGATTAGGCCGTAATTTAAACAACTTTTTTCTTCATGAGTTTTAGTCTTCGAGTCTTTCACTGAAAACTTAGATAATGAACAAGTACTTGTTGATCGACCCTTGGGACAGAAATTGAACGATTGACAAGGTTCTGTACCACCAATCCTGCTAAAACATAATGCAGCACATTGGTCGTGATTTATATTATACTCAGTGTGAAAAACTTCCGTGACAAGTTTATGTCCTGTGGCAAAATATTCATTTGCAACTTTAGCTAAAGAAAAAAGGCAAAATTTTCAAGTTATACTCAGTTTTCTTTTGCACTTAATCGTTATACTTACGAATGTAAATGTCACAAGTATCACTATATTCGGTGGCAGTATCGGTATATGCTTCATTTAAAGTACAAGTTGAACCACAAATTTGGAAAGAGTGACAGCGATTATCTGAACCACATTTGGAGGCACATTGATAAAGCCACAATTCCTCTGAGAGCGAGCTTTGTGATTTAAATCGTCGATTTCTATTCACTGTATAATGGAGTACAGGATTTTCAGTGAAGATTCCACATTTGGGATTATTTTCGAATTCATCAATTGGAGCTGCGCTCGGAACCATGTTCGTAACAAGGCACTCATTTGTTTTATCACCTGAGCAATAAGACAGAGTTCGACAGTTTAATTCATCTGAATTTTTACAAGCTCGATAACAGTCTGCAAATGTCTTCACATTCGGCACCACGACAACATTTGGATCATCGGCTTTCAATATCTCGTTGGCATGAATAAGATAGAACATATCGTTTGAATGGTCAGTTTTATCTCGAGTAACATCTAGTACATCGACCATCTTATACTTGAAATACGCTGAAAAAAGGTAGATTGTAAGTTATACGAAAACTAAAGCCAATAGTAACTTACTATGGTATCCATTCGTCAGCGAGATTGTTTTGTAAGCTGTATCTCTGAGTAAATGGGACTGAAGATCTTTGTTTGAAATTTCCCGCATCATTCGATTTAAATTGTGCAATGGTATTTCGAACACTTGACAGGCATGACCTTTTTCAGCATCTTCTTCGACATTTTCGATTCCTTTTATGGTACCACAAATATTAACCCCAGGACAAAAGAGTACAACACTTTGTGCAACAAAAAAAGTCATGAAATAAGACTATCTAAAAGTTCTCATAATTAAACTTACTCGAAATCAGAAAAATCATTTGATAATTGGTTTAGACATTCTAGTTCACTTGCTGCTCTAGTTCGAGATAGTGTTTTCAATGTATCATAATTGACTCGATACGTTTTTGGTGACAATGCATCTGCAATGACAATGATTTTAGAGAAGTTAAAAATGAAGATTGTCAAAAACTCTCAATGGTTAATGTAACAGAAAATGAGAATTTGATAAAATTATAACTCTTTAAAAAGAGACAATATTGATAATTTTATCATTTTCGATAACCTCATTACATGTAACATGGATTCAATTTTACACTTTCTCGCCACCCTGTAATTTGTATTTCAATCGTATTGGTGATCAATATTCAACAGAATCAAATCATCATATTTTATATTTACCTAATATATTTGGTGCCTCAAGAAAATCAATCATTAAATCAATCCTTGAAGTACTGAAAGAAACGTCCATCTCCTTTAGTCTCAATGCACTGATTTCATAATTCCAAAATATTGCTTCTTTGACGCGCTCTTTAAGTAAGAGCACGTGCTCTTCAGCTAGTTTTATACAATCAGGTTCTATGAATTTCGTATGATTAGATTGGATTGTTTCAAGTTAGCATAATTAATTCACGAAAAGAACCTGAAAAATGCGATATTACCTTTACATTCGAGATGAATGCTAAGAGTCATTTCACTGGTGAAATCTTTACATTCAGCCACAGAAAATTTATCTTGGAATTCAGATTCAGTTTCAGCAACTTGAAAATCGGAGTAATCCCTTTTGATAGCTTGAATTAGTTTATATTTTCCATTCTAATAATCATCATATAACCAATTAGTCGAATAGAATTATTGCTGAACTTATTAAACTTATAAAATTAATGTTGTTATGATTAATTACCGAGGTATCTTTGTTGTAACAGTTAATTATTGTTGCAACAATCAGGTGCCCATCGAAACCATAATTGTCAACCTAAAACAATTATCCAACAAAATTTAGATTAATTCTAAAAACTAATTGACAAGATGAGTGTTAATGGTTGGAAGTTAATCTAAATTATCGCGACTAACCACGATATCGATATCGATATTTCATAGATTAGGTTTCATTTGACCCGATTAAGTCATTTGCAAATGGAGTCCGGTCATTCCTGGTTAACTCAAGCTAGGCCAAGTTCAGCTACAAATCAGACCTTACTCATACACTTTCATGGACCCTAACCTCTCATTGGCCAACACATTTATCTCCACTTCCATTAACACTCATTTTACCATAAATTGGTTTTCTTACGGTTTCAGTGAAGTATTGGGTAGTGACAACTTTATCGTATTTATCAGAATTAACAGTTGAATTATAAGAAATTGATTCCCAAACTTTCGCCGCAAACTCAGGCCGATTTTCCTGGAAAACAAAAGCGCTTAATCATGTCTAATTCTGCAGGTAATCAACTAGCAAAGGCGTCTTTCTACTTACAAGATACATTTTACCCAAATACTTGTAATTTCCATCTAGAAGAAATAATCTTGTCAAGTGAAACTGACCAGTCTCTTGACTAAGACCTATTGATCCTCTTTTAACCGGTGAAACTTTACAGGACTCGCCCTCTTGAAATTGGTAAACTAGACCAAGTGAGTAGTCATAAAGAGCTTCCGATTTGCTATTAGGTTTCTGTATACGCACCAATTTGAGTCTATCATTGGCATATATCTGGTGAAGAGATTAGAACATTATAATTTGATCAACAAATAATTGCCTATCATTATAATTTGAACAATCTCTTACCTCGCTAACAGTTTTTGTGGTAGTTGAGCTTGTAATTGTTTCCGAAAGTATCAGGTGGACAAGGTGGGAGTTCATTGTTGGAGTTGGTACGCTATTTCCATAGAAAGCTGAACAGCCGACTCCTGGAAGTGGCTGTGAAATTAAGTGGATTAATCAGTTGGTTATCAAGTAGCCATTTGTTGAGTTATCTTACCTTAACAGTTCTGGATAAATCTTTAGTCGAGTCCATGCCTTGAGAGAAAATGTCCAAAATTAAATTTTCTTTCGTTAAAACAATACAGATGATGGGTCACTTCCACTGAACGTAATTCGACTCGGTGCTTGTAGGCCTGATTCTTGGTCCAAGTTAGCTGATTTGATAAGGAAAATGCCAGGAGAAGTTGAAAATTAATAAAAGACCAGCAAGTGATAACTAACTTACATTTGTAATAACAAGTGATATTCAATTTATTGTTGATATTTGCTCGTAAACTTTTCATCATTGTACCTCTCACATTTTCATCCGCAGCCTCTTTCTGACAAGTTAATGAAATTTTGATCAAATCAGTAATTTTATTGTAAATTTTGCTGATTGAATCTTAATATTACCCAATATATTGAATTATGCCTAAGACGATAAAGTATCGAAGGTCCCATAGCTATCAACATGCTCGTCAATCGTTTTGTTACACCAGTAAGAAGTTTAAACTCATCAGAAGGCTTGAACTTGTACAATAAACAATCGGTACCTAAAAATGAGAAAGAATATTAATCAAACGATTATCTTTCTTTTCGATTTCAGGTTGAACAGTCTTTCGACTTTTTCGACGTGTGCGTAAACACAATTTCGGTGGATGAATTTCAATCAATTATTTTACCCATAATCACTTGACGCTCATAACTGTCCCAAGCTTTTTCATTCTTAGTGTAGTGGTAAACACTGAATTTATTTTTAGGAGTATCAACTACAATCTCGCCATTAATTGTTGATCTCGATGATATAAATTCAAGCATCGAATAAATATCTCCGGTATCTTGTAATATCAATTAGTTGATTAATTTTCAATTTAAACTTTAATCAATTGTTCATTGGTACCTTGTCTGTTAATGTTGCGTGAATCTTATAACTCCCCTTTGGTAAACTTAAAGGCAAGTCCATTAATGTTGATATGGAAGCTAGGAAATTATTTGAATGGAGTAATAACTATTGATAATAATTACTGATAATTAATTGATTTCAACTTGAACTTACCTGAATTACCAGAGTGAATGACTGAAAAAATGAACAACGAGTAAAATAAAAGTAACATTTTCAACTTTGTTACGATGAAAGTTTTGTGAATAAAACTCGACAGCGTTTTTGTTAAATTGTGAATGAGTTGAATAGATAGTAAATACTTTCACTATTTTTAATTGAATGAGCGTTTAAACTGATCGTCTTTTGACAAGTTAATATCATTTACGGCGAGAACGCCTTTTTCTCAACAAATCATTAATATTATCACTAAGTTTACCTTGGACATATTCAATTAGTGATCATATCACTACAAAAATCTATTCGATACTTTTGATTATTTTATCTCTAAAATTAAAATTGTTATCAACTTTCCTATGAAATTCGTTTTGCATATGAATTCTGACATTTAAAGTAGATATTAATAATAAAATTGAAAGAGAAACAAATGCGAACAGTTTTAATTGTTTTCTGATTACTTGGAAATCTATTGATAATTATTGGCTCCTCTCAATTTTTAATTGTTTACAATAATAGTGTTTGACGATTAGATAAGTTTTTATCTTGATTCTCATTTGTTTATCATATCTTTTGACAAATTATTTGTTTTTCCCGCTTAAAGTTTCATATCGGATGTAAGACTTTAAAAACACAGAAAAGACGTCAAAAAATCTAGTTACTTAATTAAATTGATAAATAAAATTCTGGTAAAGAAAGTTTCCAAGGAAATATGAATTTCACTTGCAAAAATTTATCATTGTTGATCTACAGTCTCAATTAAAGATCCATTTTTGCACACTGTCCTTATAATGTCACAAATCAATGATTCTGACACAATATTATCAATTTAGTCTTTTCTGTTTTATTTATTCTGGGAACTCATTGACGTTGATTGTTCAACTAACTCAATTGTTTTTTGATAAAGTTGGGGACAATTAGTTGATATCTATTTCATTAAGTTTGGAAATTCAATAATAGTAAATCGTTTATCTTACTGTCAATTTTGAAAACAATAGTCTGATTAAAAAAATAATTAAATTAGTTGATGAACAATCAAAACAATAAATTTTCCTAATCCAAAGACAACAATCTAAGAAAGATATTGATATCAAGGTTCATAAGTTGGTTTCATTATAAAAAGGGACAAAAAACTTTATTTACTTTCATTCAATTCTAACCAGAACATATAACATAACTAAACAAATCGAATCTTTAATAACTATGATCAAATCAATTATTGTCCTTTGCCTTTTCTTAGCTGTTTCTTCAGCTCGAGATATCGTGCATACAAAATGTGACTGTAAGTATTAAACTGATTCATATTAATTGGCCAATCAATTAATCACCTACAATCAATTAAATTTAATTGCCATCTTAGCTACCTCCGGTACAATTGAATCGTTCGATATGGACCCTTGCGACTCTGATATTTGTATTCTGAGGCCCAATACGGATGTTGTTTTTACCGGTCAAATCATCCCAAGTAAGTGTATTATCGTTATCCTTTTGCGATCAGTGATTTACAAATTATTCATTTCAATTCATGAAAATCTAGCTATTTCCGCTGAGAAACCGACTCTTTCCATTCAGGTTAAAATGGGATATTCTTATATTGAATATCCTGGTCTCTCGCAAGACGCTTGTGAATACTTCGAATGTCCATTGAAGGCCAATGTCGCAAACCACTTCAAAGTCGAGATGGAAACTTTCGGCTGGTTTCCACCCGTAAGTAACTGAAAATCAACTAAATTACTTTTAATCAATCACATTACAATTTTGATCCAATTCTCAGATGGTCACTGACATGCGATTCCACGTCTACGAATCAGCCGATGGTGAAGAATTGGCCTGTGCTCAATCAAAAATTGAGATCGCACCTTATTAACTCAATTAATTAAACAGTGAACGTGACATCACTGATTAATCGAACGCATTAATGCGATCACAAAAAATGAAAAGTAAAATTATTAATAAAAGAGAATATAATTTGTTTTGACTTGATGAAAACTAAGAGAAATAGACCAATTATTAATATATTGCGCGATTAGAATGCTTTTCAGGTAGAAAAGGCGATTCATTTAGAGTTTCAAACGATCTATCAATAAAAAACCACAAGAAGTTCGATAAAACTTGATCAAATCGATGGACCCACCGAAAGTCTGAGATCAGAACACCTCTTTTCTAAAGACATGCGATTTAAATCGGCGATAATTTTATCAATTAACCACTGAGATAGAAAGGGGCTCCATCAAAGTGTAATATGTGCACTGGTAATGTAATAGTCTTATGAAATTTTCGTTTTATCGATTTTATGAATTGGACTAAATTCAACTTTGTAGAAATGGTTCCAGGGTCTGACCCATTGGTCCAATTGTATTATGAAGCAACATATTAACTTCGTCCTCGCTAAAATTGAACTTTACAAGGAGAGTTTCCAATACACCATGAGATCTGATTAATATGTGAAACTTAGGCCTAAAAGAGAAGCAAATAATATTCACAATTTTCGTCTTCATTTAATATCATGTCAATTATGGGAAACTAAAAATATTCAATGTTAATTATGTGATCAATCAAATTAATTCAATATAAATTGTCAATTTTGTTTATAAAAAATTACTTCTGACTCAAATAAGAGCTCACAATAATCAATTCAAAAGAATTGTTCAAATTAATCAAATTTCAAATAAAATTCTATTTAATCAGTTGTTAAAATCAATTATTACAAAGTCTAGAATCAATAGTTTGATATAAAATTCATATTTCAATTAATCTTCTTAACCAGTTTATCAACCAAACTGATCATGATTAAATCAATTTTATTCGTTATTTTAATCATCGATTCATCTTTTTTCATTAATTGTGATGAAGTTTCCCCACTTTTGAATAATACTTGTAAAACTTTTATGGAATTGGTAACTAACGGGACTCATGAGAAATACATGGAAGATATAGATGATTGTATGGTAAGTAGTGATCACAATTCATTTTCAAAATTAACTTATCGATGTCTAAACTTTTTACCAGAAAAATAATTTACCCGAAAATGTTTACGATGCTTTGGTCAAATGTGAAAATATTTTACCGTTCAGGACAAACGAAGAAGTGACCAAGGCTTGTTCTGGCATTGAAATCAACTCGAAAGCATTTGAAGAGGTAAAAAAACACAATGAACTGAATTTTCGAGTAAACTGTTCAAGTTTAGAGACTAATTGTGCGTTCAATTTTAATCAAGTCCATTAGATGCAAGCAAAAAACAGTTACGGGTGGTTTCAAAAAGTATTGGGTGAGAATTGATAAATTATTAAACAACATTGATTATTTTAACTAAATGTTATTTTTATCTACCAATAATTCAGTCCTGTATATTCAGCATATTGAAGGAACAATTCACCGATAAATGATGGATAGTTGGTTATGCATATCAACAATAAAATCTGATAAACTTAATTTTTTGTTCGATTGTTCAAGGATAAACACTTAAATGATCGTTGATTGTAAAATTATGCCGATTACATTTATCATTGTAATTTTAATAGAATGAGGCCTCAATAAATATCATTTGCATCAAAACATCTGATTAATCATTTCCATTATTTCAATCTAGTCATTTTATCAAAGTTGTTTATTGATTTTCACTATTAATTCAAATCTAATTTGAAATAAAAGTACTGGTAAAAGTTTTGATCCAGCGGCCTGTCGTTGATTTAACCTGTTTACATCTCTGGATGTTGTAGTTTCGTAGCCCTCGAAGATCAAAAGCCACTCTCTCATTTAGCAAAACTGTACATCAAATCCAATCAAAAAAGTCCTGTATCCACAATTTTGACCAATGCTATGATTGTCTTAAAAACAAGTTTATCGTCACTTAGAACTAATCAGGCCAATTAAATACAACGGAACTATGGATTTGCCACTTTGAATATTTTTTTCACCAAAACAAATCTAATTTTCTGTAAGGTCAAGAAAAGTTGTCGCTCAAATAAAAATTTCATGATCTAAGCACATCGTTTTTAGGAAGAAGTTGCCAGAAGTTTCAACTTCGAATTTGATTTTCTCGAAAACTACATATCAGATCATAAAAAAATATTTAGACTTCATATTTTTGGCTTTAAAAATACCCAAAGTCCTAACTCTTAACTCAAAAGTATAATTTTCTGCCCATTGTCCTTTATTCACTAATCTCACTCACAAATAGGAATTTAACAATCAGCAACAAACAAGAACTATTAATACATTCTTTGACACGAATGATCGAATTCGTAGATATCTCAGATCAATTGGAGCTTTTTTAAGGCCATTTTCACCTCAAATGGATCACGAGCTTCAACGTCTCCGTAAATCAAATGCCTCAAAATTTCTTAAAATTCCTACCATCAAAGTATCAATTCAAAACTCTGGTAGATAAACTGACCTAAATTAGAAGTAGATCATGAATGAACAATCCACGCATAATGAAAAAAAGTCATCGTTACAATTAACTGGATTTTTAAGATCATCTACTAGTACTAATATCAATAGATGCAAAAAATATAATTAACGTCCAGATCCGATCCTGATTGTAATACTTGAATACATCTTTGCATCAGTATTCTCACCTTTAATTACATTTAATTGTGTAATTTTTCTCAATTAATATCTTAATAAATGCGAGCCACCCTAAAATTTCAAATTGGATTAACTTCATATTAAGTCAGATTAAGGTTAACAATCATTGTAATCATCAGTAATCAATCAAACAATAAGTATCAAAATTAGCAGAGATAAAAGAAATCATATCGTTTGAACAGAGCAATCATTGCTTTCGTCAATTATTAACAATCATATTGTTGTGATTACGGTTTTTTATATGATGGTGATAAAATGTAACAATCCAATAACAGAAAAGATTATCAATATTTTTAGTTAACAAAATATAAATAATCTAATTGTTTGATTGATATATTGAAAAAAAATAATTCGGAGAAATCAATGATGTAAATAGCCCAATACATCGTATGATTATTAAATCAGAAATCAAATAAATTTTGAGGTGTTATTCAGATTTTTTGTATAAAAGGATAGAATTATATTCAACTAATTTCATTATTACTCAAAGTATTATTAACTTCATTAATTGTTTAATCAACGAAAATAGAAAAGTATCGAAATGTACAACCAACGACTAACTACATTGATTTTAATTACAATCTTCATAATTTCAGTTAATTGTTTCGTTATTGATCATCCAGCGCAAAGCAAGAAAGCGAAAGTCGGTGATGAATTCAAGCCGATTTCAGTGACTGATCCAATGGTTCTAGATGATATTCAATTCGTAATCGATCAAATTAACTCAGCTTCGTCGTCTAAATATTTGGTTAAACCAGTTAAAGTTCGAGAGGCTTATATATTGATGAAAGAATATGTGAGATTAACTTTCGATTTGGCCACAACAACTTGTCTCAAGGACTCGAAAGCCGCGTTGGACAAATGTGCAATTGATCAAAAACAGGTAATTTTAATAACTTAAATGATCTAAATGATAATTTTATTTCTTTATAATCTAATAATTGTTTTTTATTTCAATTATAGCCAATAAAAACTTGCAATGAGTTAATTGTTGACAATACACCTTGGAGAGAAGTCAAGAAAAAGATCACCAATTTTGGTAACTGTGCACTTTAACTGTCAACAACAATTGATAATTATGAAAATTAACTGTGCAAAAATCAACATATTTGCAAATTGAAATATTAATAAAAAATAAATTTTCTGCAATAATATCAATATGGTTAAAAACCAGTCGTCAAACAAATTAACTTACATTGCAACCATTTCAGTACAAGTTATCCAGCTGAGATATTTTATCAATGATGCTACTTCAAAGCTATTATCAAGAACTATTAATAGATCAATAATAAAAGTGAAACATTAAGTGAATGAATTCGGTACGATGGTGATTATAATTGAATGGAAAGAAGTTTTTTAGTGAATTAGACAATCGGTTTCTTGTTGGCCATAAACTATTCAACTGATTCTGTGTGTTAATTTGACAGCCAAATCAGAAAAATTAATATCCATGTAACTGGATATCTAATTATTACAACTACAGTCTAACACCAAAAATTGATCTAGTTTTTAAAAGTCCTTTGAAATAATTCCAAGTTGCCGAAACTGTATCTGAATCTCATGATAAATTATTTATGGTTAAATGTAAAGAGTTAATGTTTATTTTACATTTACGGATTGATATTCTAATGTTAATATTAACAAAAGTTTGATCAACTACTAACAAGTTGGATCAAACACTCTATTTAGAGATCTCTGATCAAATGGAGGTTCAACTACTTGGAACATCAATAATATTTAGAGCTGATATTTATCAGTATTTTTTATCATGAAATTAGTAACTGAACCGTTTTTACATGGCTAGTATTTAATACTTACGTTAATTCTCACTTTATTTTTCTCTCATACTGGAAGTTCTAGAAAACACAATGAATCTGCTTGGGATAATATTAAACAAATTTTCCAATATTACAAACACTCCAATGAATGAGAAAACATTTATTTATCAATGCTGAATACGATTCATGTTTATTAATCGCGTTAATTAAACAAAATATTTTGATTTAAAATAATTGAATGATTAACATAAAGCTTGTTGACAAGTTTCTACGAAACTTTTACCAGTCAATAATTTGGCGATTTCTTGGACTTCACTTGAGATCTTCTTCGATTGTGCTCGAGACACATACCAAGCTTTGACTGTCGATTGATGAAGAAACAAAAACAAAAACAAATAATTAGTTAATTTCTCCACAGTAAAAACAATTAAATCGTTCAACTAACCATCAAGAGTACCATCACCATTTGATGAGCAAGAAGCCAAGACAGCGGTCCAGTCCTCGGAGTAGTAGGGCATCCAGAAAGTGGCTTGTTTACCATCTATTTAATCAATGGCTTGATTACTTTCATTAGTTCAAATAATTAGTGTCTAATTACCTTGATTGATGTTGAATGAGACGGGATCATCATCTCCAACTACGCGATAGTAAGATCCACCAGAGAAATTACCTTCGATTAAGTTGACCTTTTTATCCCAAAGTACGGCGCTTTCACTAGCATTGGTTACACGTCTGATTATTAATTTTCATGTTTATTAGGATTAATGAGATACTTACGGTTCTTTAACTGTACCCTTGTTCAAGATGTAAACTTTTCCTGGGTAGAGATGATCGATTTCAATGGTGTTTTGAATGGTGTTTGGAACAGTCTTATCGGTTCGACCAATTTCATACCAACCAGTGATTTTGGTGAACTAAAGATTGTTAATTTAGTTTAGAAATCAATCCCAAATTATAATCATTCAAATATTTACTTACATAGCTGAAGGACCAGTAATTGATTCCCTTAGGAACTGTAGGAGTTGGACAAGAGTCTCCTTTAATTGTTACACCGATTGCAGAAGTAATTACAAGTGAAGCACAAGCAATGAAGAAGATGGATTTCATTTTGATTGTTTAATGAAAGTAAATTGTAGTTAGTTGAACAATTTAATTTGTTTTCTGATTTAGTTTGAGACTTTTTTTCCGCCTTAAATACTTACAGCGATCGATTATTATCGACATTTATTACTTCACATCGTAATCTACAACTTTCCAAGAAATGATAACCATTGTTATCGTTTGATTGTTTAGCACTAATTGTATGATTTTTCAACATGATTTGTTAATTGTGACGATAATAATATGTTCCAAATTGTACCTAAATTTTCCTTGGTTTCTAATTATGGACAAATGTAACCTTCATCGTTTTTCACAATCATAACTCATGATAAGAATGATTGTTTTTCCATATCTAACCATTAATAGGAAATTGATTTGTTTGATTAAGTTTGCACAAAGAAAATTATTGAATACTGATGGAAAATATTACATTTTGGTACATATTATGATTACTAATATTTTTTCATTCTTTTTAAATTATACCCTCACTAATCAGCCTTATGGTACCTCTAAAAAACTATCTATCAATTCATAGATGAATATTGGCATGTTGGGTAAGCAAAACAGGTAGTAAACTCGATCTTCGGGATAATAATAGCGAGGCGAATCTATTAATAGTAAAATTTATAATCTCGAGGGTTCAGAACACAAGAAAACTCTTTACATCAATTTTCTTACGTGTCATTTGTTAATTACTTACTTAATTAGTTAGTATTCTGATGAATTTAGATCAGTTTAGACCTATTGAATGTTTTCTGAAGTTGAGCGGAAAATTCAAGTAAATTATTGAAGATACTATTAATACTTGTGGGGATAAGTTTTAAGACTTTTGTTTTACTTTTACATGTAATATTTGTAATTTTGAGAAAAGTAGTTACATGTTATCTATTTGATGAACTGGCCGAAGGACTTTTTTACAAACCTCTTATAGAGATGTATTAAGATAGTGAATATACTTGATTAGATGGATCAAAACTACTGTAGACTACTGAAAACTACTGATGGATTCGAGTTCAATTCCTTGTAAATTATATCGTCTCTTATAAATCCACCAGGAACATCAACCGTTGATCTGGTTAAATAATAAGCGCTATTTGACATTTTTGCTAACGATTTGCGAACCTTATTAAAACTCGTTGTGATATTTTTCATTCCTAAAATTATCCAATCTGATCCTAGTTGTGATTTCACAGATGACAACTTCTTTAGTTGTTTGATGTAAATATTGTATCTTCTAAGAGTCGCAAGTCTACAGTCTTTCATCCGTTCTATTTACTACTTTGCTTTCAATCCAATTCTTTTTACTAGCTTCCATGTCATCAATAACATCATCGAAAGAATCAGCCCCTTTCTCATTGATTGTTGCAAATATCTCGTGACTTTCGTTGAACTGATCGCGAGTTTTTAGAGCGACAAGCAACCCAAACGTTTCTTAACAATTAATCGAGTTACATTAACAATATCTCGTAGTTTCTTAGCTGTTTGCTTTGATTTATTTTCCGTTTCCATGTCAATTGATGATAATTCATCATTTAGGAGATTAAGTTTATCACAATAGATTTTTATTAACATTAATTGTCCTTCATTCATCTCTTTTGCTTGGTTGATGAATTTTAATTCACTTTGGACAAGTTTAAGCAATGATTTCACTTGGATATGAGATTCAGAATTTGACTTGATTTCCAAAGATTTCATTAGGTCATAAATAACTGATGAGAAATCGTAAGGTGATTTGTAACCAGAATCTAATTTATCCAATTGGGTTGCACAAGATTTTAGAAATTGCTCAATAAAAGATAGGATTATATTGATAAATCTGAAGTAAGGTATCGATCAGAAAGACAATTTAAGACTTTTATAATCTTTCGCCATCCGATAGTTTGGACATTGCATCAGCAGCCAAACTTCATGCGAAGCTTCATCGATATATTTTTGTGGTCCATTCAGAGCCTCATTAACAATTTCAACCTTTTCTTTTGGAAACATCAATCTTCCTCTGGGAAACGATTCGATCCTTTGAACTAAGCTCATCCAAAGAGACTTTACTTAATTATCTTTCCGTAAGCAATTTATCACGATAAGATTCAACATCTTTGATAACTTGAAACAATACTGGAAGATTTGAATAACTAGTCCAAGCAAAAAAAGTCGTAGGCACTTTAAAGGGATTATCCATTGGGCTTTAATCAACTTGACTAATTAAAAAAATGATGAAAATATTTCATCAGATTTTATGGCAATTAAAAAACAAACTGCAATCATCAAGTCAGATATTCCATATTCACCAGAATTACTCCATCTATTGGGTTTCAGTTTAGGTTCCAATCTCTTTCTACAAGAAGCTAAATTACACACTTTTCTTGTTTATTTTAACAAATCACATCTCTTTCCTGGATAGTGAAATCTATCCGATTCCAATTCATTCTGTTTCGATTTGATTGAGTGGAATTGAAGCAATTCATTTGAATTTACTTTACCTAATTTTGTGATTGACAGTTTAAAGAGATAATCCATATATAAAACCTCTATAACTCTATAACCTTTGGTTCTCGAGTTATCGTGACGAACACTCTTATAAGTTAATTACTTGGAACATATTTGAACGTTTATCATGAAATTATTAACTGAATCGTTTTCTCATGGCTGGCATATAGATCTAAATATCTTAATTACTAGTATTTTCATACATGTAGTTCTAGAAAACATTACAAATCTACTTATGATAAAACTATCAACTCTTTGATAAATGAGAAAGCACTAATTTATCAATGCTGAATACGATTAAAGTTTATTACTCGCGTTAATTAAACAATACATTTTGATTTAAAATAGTTGAATGATTAACATAAAGCTTGTTGACAAGTTTCTACGAAACTTTTACCAGTCAATGATTTGGCGATTTCTTGGACTTCACTTGAGATCTTCTTCGATTGTGCTCGAGACACATACCAAGCTTTGACTGTCGATTGATGAAGAAACAAAAACAAAAACAAATGATTAGTTAATTTCTCTACAGTAAAAACAATTAAATCGTTCAACTAACCATCAAGAGTACCATCACCATTTGATGAGCAAGAAGCCAAGACAGCGGTCCAGTCCTCGGAGTAGTAGGGCATCCAGAAAGTGGCTTGTTTACCGTCTATTTAATTATAATGGCTTGATTACTTTCATTAGTTCAAATAATTAATGTCTAATTACCTTGATTGATGTTGAATGAAACGGGCTCTTCATCTTCAATTATATCATAATAAGATCCACCAGAGAAATTACCTTCAGTCAAATCGACTTGATTATCCCAAAGTACGACGCTTTCACTAGCATTGGTTACACGTTTGATTATTAATTTTCATTTTTATTAGGATTAATTAGATACTTACGGTTCTTTAACTGTACCCTTGTTCAAGATGTAAACTTTTCCGGGGTAGAGATGATTGATTTCAATGGTGTTTCGAATGGTGTTTGGAACAGTCTTATCGGTTCGACCAATTTCATACCAACCAGTGATTTTGGTGAACTAAAGATTGTTAATTCAGTTTAGAAATCAATCCCAAATTATAATCATTCAAATATTAACTTACATAGCTGAAGGACCAGTAATTGATTCCCTTAGGAACTGTAGGAGTTGGACAAGAGTCTCCTTTAATTGTTACACCGATTGCAGAAGCAATTACAAGTGAAGCACAAGCAATGAAGAAGATGGATTTCATTTTGATTGTTTAATAAGAGTAAATTGTAGTTAGTTGAACAATTTAATTTGTTTTCTGATTTAGTTTGAGAATTTTTTTCCGCCTTAAATACTTACAGCGATCGATTGTTATTAACACGCATTACTTGGAATCGTGATCGACACCTTTCCAACGGAAAAATGATCATCATTGTTATCGTTTGATTGTTTGGCATTAATCGGATGACCTGTCAATTAACCAACACGAATGTCAACGCGATCTGTAAATTGTGACAGTAATTCAGTCAATTTGAGCGATTTCGCTATTGTGAAAACAACAGATGGAAATTTTTCATAATGTTTCAAAGTTGCACTTAAATTTCACTCAGTTTTTTAATTATCATGAACAAATGTAACTGTCAATCGTTTCTCATTATGAAAGTCAGGGACAAGAATGGTTGTTTTCCCATAACTAATTATTAAACTAACAGTATACAATTAATTTGTCTTTTAACCTTTTCAAAGACAATCAATAATTAATTATTAATAACGAAAGTAAAACAATATGCTGCGGGTATCTCTTAAATAACTATCTATCGAATCATAGATGAATATTAGCATACATGATTCTGACTGCGAAATTTACATTCGTAAGTCTAATTAGTGGAAGGGTTAGAAAAAATGAACAATTATTAATATGACTATTGTTTTCTTATTTTCTTTAGCTAAAGTTTCGAATATGTATCAGTCCACAGGAAGAAAACTTGTATCGAAAACTTTTCACGTCGAGTTCAATTTAATATGAGTAGTAAGATAAAGTAGGCTTCTGGCACACTTGACATCTCTGGCACAGAGTTGACGCCTCTAGCACAGGTACATTTCTAGCACAGGTACATCACCTACTTGTGCCAGAGATGTACTTGTGCTAGAGGCGTCAACTCTGTGCCAGAGATGTCAAGTGTGCCAGAAGCCTACTTTATCTTACTACTATATGCTTTATGTTACAGTTGGACTGATGATTCGGACTCTTGTCAATCGTTCCATAGATGCAACGAGTTGTTTTAATTACGACTAATTAATAACTCGAATAAGAAAAAACAATCAACTCCAATAGTAAAAAAAGGTACCCGCGGATCGGCAGCATTTGGAAAAATTTTGATCTTCATCGCCGCTGTCATGTCGAAGTAGCTGAAGGGATGATCAAAGTTTTATTTTGAAAAGATAAGTAGACGATGTATTACAACCAAAAAATGAGGCTCATTCGACAAGCCCCATCGGTATTTTATTCTGATCTCACGCAATTAATGACATTTAATTGTTAAAATCACGCTCGAAACATAACTATTAATAATTGGATAATTTTTTCTATTTACTGATAATCACTCAATAAACCTCATTGTGACCATAACCTTTCTGTTGTTCATTAAATCAATTAATCAACAATACATTTGATATAATTTTCTCTGAAAGATAATTTTTCAAATGTTTTCATAACTCTGAATCTGAGGTTATAATTACAATCAAATTATTAAGTGATTATCAATAAATAAAAAAATATTCAATTGATAAATTCTTTATTCGACAGAAAATTAATTGTGTTAACAATTTATCAGGTTTCTATCAATAATAATTCGATCAATTTTATTTTTCTTGAGCAAATTGAATTGAATTTAGGATACAATCAATCATCTAATGTACAGGGAGAGAATTGGTATAATTGATGTATCCTTAATAAAGGTGGTTAGTTTAAATTATTGTTCAGAAATACGAAATTGGTTCAATTCTGGATCTCAATCACAACATGGAAGGTTCAAGTTGTATTAATAATAATTCGATTATTCTTACAAGTTTTATGTTTCCATCTAAATGGATATTCTCATCTCTACCTAAATGGTTCCTAATAGTGACGATCGGTATCATCAGTTCAACCGAATTGATTTTTCTGGCATTCGACTGGTATGATTTTTTTGAATCGAACGGATTACTTTCGCTTCGATCGGCACGCCGAGTCATTTTGCTTCTCACAATAGGCTTGCAATCAGGAAATATGTTCTTTTTGAACTGGTCAAATTTTCGTGATTACTTTCTTTATCTAAGTGATCTCAGTCTCGATAAAAATTCTGATTCTATTTTGATGATAAAACGAAAACGTCGAATAAAATATATCACTCTGAGCACATTGATGATTTCTTACAATATCCTCACTTTATTTGTTCCAAAAGATTCTGATAGTACAGTTATAAGCTTGCCACGGACTCTTGGGTATTTTCTTCGGTTTTCTTCCTGTGTTGGCAATCTATTCTTACTGAACATAGTCATTGATTCTTGTATCTGTTTGGAAGCCACTTTCGGCTCGATAAATACTAATATGAAAAACTTTTCTCGTCATGAAACACCGACAATTATGTTACTGCAAATGAAAAAGATTCGATCTGATTACAGTTACGCCGTTTTAGCTTCTCAGTCGATCGAAAAGTTTGCTCGATATTTCATAACCGTAACATATATTAATTGCGGAGTCTTTGGGGTTATAAATGCTGTATTCGCCTTTGGTCATGTAAAAAATGTCATTTGGATTCTTTTTATGGCGACTGATTCAATCTCAATCATCTATTTAACAATTCGACTGGTTTCGATTAATCAAATTGCGACTTATGGATTAGAGGACTTATACAATATCTCTTTCTCACTAAAAACTCAACAATTACAATACGAGGTAAATGTAACGTAGAAAGCAAATTTGATTCAAAAGTTAAAAATTTGTTTTCTTTCTCCACAATTAGCATGACACTCTAATCAGTCGAATTCTTTGGAAAAATGTTGGATTTACCTTTGGAAATTTGTTTGTAATAAACACCAATTTTATCACTTCAATGTTCACATTGGCACTAACACTGAGCATAACTCTTGCTAATTTTCTTTACCAATAATTTCGCATCAAAATAAGGAGAAACTGCGAAGAAAAAAGTCTGACCTGATAATTAGTAAATCTATAAGGAACCAATATTAGGTATACACGATTGTTACACCCCGTATAACCTCTTAATCTTTGACTAATCCTCGACACTCAAAAATTAGCAAATACAGTAAAACCTTAAGGAATACTCAGTAAGGAATATTTTGTTACGCCATCTATTGGTTCAAACTATTTTCTATGGACAAATTTAATTGACCAACATTAATTAACGGAAAAAGAGTCAAATCAATAGGTGGCAGCATCAAATAAAATATTCCTTAGCAAGGTTTTACTGTAGTGAAAAGCTCTGATCATTTGTTGATATTGTAAGGCCTGGGAATAGCCATAAAAGTTTGTGATTAAACTTACGTTAACTAAACTTAACTTCTAAGAAAAGTTTATCATCGGGATTGGGATAAAGGACATCAGGCATGTTTGACTGTTTTTAGCCTTAACTTTTTTATGTGATTTAATTTTCGAGCTTATGAGTTAAAACAAATCAACACGTATTTTTAATTTTTTGATCTGACTCGCAGATTTCGTGAAATTCGCCAAAAATGGGAAAATAGTCCGAATTTATTTGTGATCGAATTAATATACTTATATAGCTGATCTTGGTATCAAACGAACTGTCCTGAGTTGTTCTTTGAAAAAAATATATATTTGAAATTTTGTTTTGAGCGTGAGGCTCGTTAGATACAGAAAACAGTGTTTTTAGTAGTAATGAAACCTCCACTTCTGGCTCACTCAGAAGCGGAAGTGGGGGAAAAACTTTTTTAATATTTTTTTAAAATTAAAAAACCGCCAAAATGTTTCATGAATCCTGAGGATTTAAATCCAGGATTCATGAAATATCTTCTTCTATGAAATATTTTCTTTTGCCAATCAAGCTTATTTGAACGTCGTAACTGTTTCTTATATCGATAAACCAATTAAATCATAAATCATAATATGTTTATGTTTAAATTTCAATTTTTTTTTATACGCTATTGGTGAGTATTTTTGTTTTTCTCTCTCTCTCTTTGGGTTTCTCTCTTTCTTTGTGTTTATCTCTCTCGCCTTTTTTGTAAGGTGTACTTGTGAAGGGAATCTTCTCATCCTATGAGCAATTTTCAAACTAGAGTAGTGTATTTATTTTTAAGCTTTAACAGCGGCCTCAGGGGAGGCTTCGATGAATTAAAATTCATCGTTTCCGGTAGTGACAACCGTACAAAGGGATGGGGTGAAGGGGATTTGGGTTACAAAAAAAGGAAGAACAATAATAATAATAATGATTTCATAGCTCCCCTGAGGTCAATGTTACATATCTAATAATATTTTATACAATTCAATATTCTTTAATCTTAAAGTTTCAATTAAACCAATGGTTCTTCATTCCGGTAGATGGGCTCCTTTTTGAACAGCATTAGTGGTTATTCCTTGAGTGATTTTGCTTGAAGTGCTTCATTAGATTGTGAGATGATGTTCAAAACTAGATCTGAAATAAATTAGTGATTTAATAATCACCTATTTTTAATCAACTTCCCAAAGGGACAATTTTAAATTTACGAACTAAACGTTCAATTTTGTAACATCATAAGATATGATCCCATGTGGGATTCATCTTTTTTCAAATTTCGTTAAATATTGTTATATTTTCACCACTTACCTTATATCAATATGATCAGTAGACACTTATTAACAATATTAGTTAATTTACATTATTATAAAACCTTAATTAAACATTGATTTAGACATTTTCTGTATCCACTTGTGATGTATTTTTTACATGAAGCGACATCTATTAGAGTTCATCTATTTTAATGGAAATCCAGCTTTAGTGAAACAATTTACAATAGTTTTTGCTTTAACTTCGAACCAACAATCTCTTAATATTTGAATTCCATCAATTAATTGTAAATTTTTGAGACAATCTAGCAAATTAATTTCATTTTCAATCGAAGGAGCAATTCGCTGTATTATTTTCGACCGATATAAAGTCTTTACATTAGCGATAATACCACAATCTAAAGGTTGGCAGTGTGATGTTGTGTTGGGTGGTAATTTGATCACAACAATATTTTTCAATGTTTCTGTTAATTTATGTGATGGGCAATTGTCAACAAATAATAGAATCTTTTTTTTATCTTCAATCAACTGATTATCCCACTCAACTAGCCACTCATTGAATAAACTTGCTGTCATGTAACTCGAGCTATTGAACTTATAATTTACATCGATTGATGATAGATCATAATTAACCTTTTTGAAACAATGAGGACGAGCACGAAAACCAATAACCAATATCCTCTCTTTGCTACCAAAACGATTACAACAAAACATTACCGATACTCTGAGCTTAGATTGCTTGATCCCGTGTTGATCACTTCCTTTTGTTAGATACGATGATGTTGGTAAAGCTTTCCAATAGAAACTCGATTCATCAGCGTTATAAATACAATCATCTTCAAAATCTTTGATAATATCAGGTAATTTAAGAAACCAATTCTCGACAATCTCAAGATCAACACACCGAGATTCACCGTGTTGTTTTAATCTTCTTACATTATTCCTTTTCTTGAACTTACTAAACCAATTAGTACTAGCAACAAACGTTTTCAACCCTAAGCTCTGAGCCAATGAAATCGCTTTAGCTTTTATCAATTTATCATCAACAGGTAGATTCTTTTGTTCAAGTAATTCAATAAATTCGAAAACCAATGAATCAAGAAGAGTGTAAAGGTTACTAGATGGACAACGATAACGAAGACATAAATCAACCTCCTCATTCTCATCACCGATCCCAACTACTCCATCATTAACGATCCTCTTGTTCTATGACCCTTGACTCCATCTCCTCGGCATCCCTTGGCCTGATGTCAAGCTTTTCCTACATCTCTAACCATGACAGCAACGGATCTACAGTTTCTGATCACTCAGAGATTGGTTTGAATCATCTCAGCATATTCACCAGCTTCACCTGTTCCTCGCCACTCCACTTCTATCAAGGAGACTCCTGACCTTACCCTTCTTAACATTACTCATGTTTTTTCTTCATGTAAGAAGCACCCACATAATGACTCTTTTGAAGCCATGAGTGATTTAAGTGACTTAGAATGATAACTTTATTTCCTTCAAATAAAATTAAATTTTAAAAAAACTTTAATTGTCTTTTCTTTTTCCGGGTTCTTAACTTACCTCTATTACATTATAATTATTTGGAACTTGATAACTTTTCTTTATTTCAGCTTATTGCCATTGGCTCAAGTTACCACTTTTCATTTGAATATTGCCTCTAGCTTTACTAAAGATTTCACAAGATATTAACTTATACTTGAATTCCTCACCCTTAAAAACTTTAGGCTACTCCCATAACAGGCAATAGACACATCTTACTACTAATTCCATTTAAATTATGATCAATGTGCCGCTTTATGTTACAGTTGGATGGATGATTTGGACTCTTGTCAATCCTTCAACTTCTGTCAAGCAAGTCGATTGAACAGTGCTTGTTCATTGTCGAAATACTCGGTCAAAGATTCGAAAACTGCAACCACAGATGCAACGAGTTGTTTCAATTACAAACTATTAGATTGATTCAATCAAAGATGCGGAGCTTCATTTTTGATTTTCGATTTAGGGTCGATCCGGTAGCTCGGTTCAATGTGATTTAATCTAGTTAACTGAATTAATGTGAATTAGTTTAGATTAATCTTGATTAAAAGAAGTTTAAATTTAGATTAATTTTGCGCTCGACTAAAAGTAGTGACATCTAACGGTTAATCAATAGATAACAATGAGAATCTAAAAATAGCTTTTTAATTGTTTGTTTTCAATCAAATAATTGGGATTATTGTCATTTTTTTGATTGTTTTTTGTTCATTTTTCTGTGATTTTTGTTATTTTTTGTTTAATTTGTCATCATCATCATGGTAAATTTTTCGCCGATTGTTGAGCTTCCCTTCACAATAAGTTTTGATCAATTGATTGAATCTCTTGAAATAAGCCAAGAGACAGTATTGATTTGTGAACCAATCAAAGAAATGGTTAATCATACTTACCATCGCCGTCGTGATATTTTTCTGGCAATCAGGAAATGGATTGATAGTAAAAAACATCAAAATAAAAATTATTTCATTGTTCGGTGGGGCCTCAAATCAAAAGATGAATCTTTTTTGATACCGGTGTTGCCTTGCGGAAAAAGCTGCCGCGGATATAGCAGCCACCTTATTAGTTCATAAGGTAAACTTAAAGCTAAATTTCAAGGTAAGCTTTTTTTATCTAATCCTATGATGGTGATGTCAGTGGTTATATTGACATCATCAGTAAGATTCGAGAAGGTAAGAAAAAATGATCATCACCTTCAAGTAAGAGTGTTGGGTCGACATCAGGCAAATCTTCAGAACTTTTTTCAGAGGATTGAATTTCGTCACCGGTATCAATCACTTTAGGGGGATTATACTTATGATTGGAGTCCGTGAAATACCTGACAAGAGACATGAGTTTTTCGACAGCCGTGTCTTCATTTTGATCACCCGACTAGCCTGTCTTTTTTTTGAAGTGACTTCGATCGATATGAAATTATATTTTTGAATTTCGTGGCCACTTCTTTATGAGTGCGGTCCCAATCTAATTCCTTGACTAATTTCTTCCATGCATTTGTTTTGTGTTAAATGTTGGAGAAATCAGATTCCATTTCTTTTCTCTTTTCTAAAAGTTCAATACACTTGTCAGTTGGCCCTGAAGTTATAAAAATCTGATTAGCTAGATGAATCATTTTTCTCATCTTAATATCTTCAGTTATGAAGACATTGGAGATGAGAAGAGATAGAATTACAATACTTACATTTCGAAGTTGTTACTTTTTGACCTGCTTTCCTACCTCTGCGAGGCTTAGAGACAGGGTCGGGTACCTCAACTAACGTGTCTTCATCAAAAAGCGAAGGGACAAAATCGTCCATTGTTTGAAAAAAAACACAAAATCAAGTTCACAAATTATCTTAATGAGCACAATTAAAGGTAAATCAACATGTTACCTTTGTTATCCCTTACGCATGACTTCTTAAAAAATCATTGTTTATATCCACCGGACAGGTAAATGAATTAAACAATAAAAACCCAGTTTTTTTAATCAACTTTGAATCAGTTTGATTAGATTAAATCACATTAAACCGAGCTACCGGATTGACCCTTAATTAGTAGTACGAATTTTTTTATATCTATCTTAAACTAGCGAGAAAATAGTAAGAATTTCATCTTAACTAAAATAAATTTAATAAATCGAACAATTAATTAATTATTTGGAAAAAGTGGAAAAAAAGTCAATTTTCAAAAATAACAAAATTCCAAAAAAAGTAATACTCCCCCTTTGATTTGCTCGCTAAATTTTTTTGACTTTTTTGCTTCGATTGCCCTGATCAAATCTATTGGCCGGGAAAACTATTAATTTGTAGTTCAAACTAAAAAATAAATTTAACCGTCTAACTTGATCTAAATAATTCATAATTCAACTCTTAAAATCACAATTTTATTATTACAATCAAACAGGGAAATCGTCTATGGACAGTTTTACTGTTGTTACCGTTGTTATCGATTTGTTATCAATTTTCCGCGATCATAATATCAGCTGGAAATAAATTCAAAATGAAGATTAAATTCTTCCTAGATTATCTTTTAACAATGGAAAAAACTGAATATCAAAATTTTGCTTCAATTGATTACCATAAGCTGCGTAAATGATTAACAAATTAGTTTAAGATTTTTGGCTGTATAAAGGAAATCAAGGCAAGCTGATCATTCATTTTTTGCATCAAAACTGCTCATTATCTAATTGTACCAAATAATCAACAGGAGATTGAATTAAATTCAGGTAGTCTTTTCATTGAAAACTGAGATAACATTACGATCAATCATGTAATGGATTGCACACCGAGAATCGATATTAATAATAATCATAAGCGAGGAAGTACTAGAAATTAGTTAGTTCCAATTTAGAAAAATCAAATCAGTTCAATTCTGGATCTCAATCAAAACATGGAAGATCATAATGGTGCGAGTGGAATTAATAATTCAATTTTACTTACTGGTTTTATATTCCCATCAAGATGGATATTCTCATCCTTACCAAAATGGTTTCTTATAGTGACTATTGGTATCGTTAGTCTAATCGAAGCTATTTTTTCCGCATTTGATTGGTACGATTTTTACAATAAATCAAACAGTTTATTTATGTTCAAGTCAGTTCGAAGAGCAATATTACTTCTAGTAATGAATTTACGGATAATTGCTGTATTCTTTTTAGACTGGTCAAGCTTTCGTGGTTATTTTCATTATCTAAATAATCTAAGACTCGATACAAATTCTGTTCTGATGGTGAAGCAAAAACGTAGAATTAAATATATTTGTCTAATCACATGGTTACTTTCTTTAAATATCCTCACTTTATTTTCTACAAAACATTCTGACAGTAAAATGATGGACATTATGCCTTCGATTGTACAATTTTCTCTTCATGTTTGCTTCGATATTGGAAATTCATTCTTTTTAAACATTATAATTGATTCTTGTATCTGTTTGGAAGCCGCTTTCGACTCGATAAATACTATGATTAAAAACTTTTCTCGTCATGAAACACCGACAGTTATGTTACAACAGTTGAAAAAGATTCGATCTGATTACAGTTACGCCGTTTTAGCCTCTCAATCAATCGAAAAGTTCGCACGATATTTCATAACCGTAACATATATTAATTGTGGAGTCTTTGGGGTTATAAATGCTGTATTCGCCTTTGGTCATGTAAACAATTTCAATCCCATTTGGATTCTTTTTATGGTGACTGATTCAATCTTAATCATCTATTTAACAATTCGTCTGGTTTCGATTAATCAAATTGCGACTTATGGATTAGAGGACTTATACAATATCTCTTTCTCATTAAGAACTCAACAATTACAATACGAGGTAAATGTCACTTAGAAATTAGATTGATTATATTAATGATAATCTCTTTTCTATTTACACAATTAGCATGACATCTTCATAAATCGAATCCTTTGGAAAAATGTTGGCTTCACCTTTGGAAATCTATTCGTAATTAACACCAATTTTATCACTTCAATGTTCACATTGGCACTAACACTAAGCATTACTCTTGCTAATTTCCTTTACCAATGATTTCGCATAAAAGTATGGAAAAACCAATATCGATTCTGGAGCTAAAATACCTTTTAGTGTTTACACACTACAAAAAGCTACAAAAATTACATAACCATTATCGAAACCAGTTGACACAATATCTAAAACTCAATTAGTATGATGATCTGATTAACTATTTCACTTTAGTTACATTTATTACATGTTATTCACATTAACAAAACTATGGTTAATCACTAACCTATGGCCAAAAGTAGAAACTCTTCACAAAAATCGTCAAGTTTCAATAGTTATAGTTATGAAGAGTCTCATCTTTTTTGGTCATAGGCTATCATATTTATTAACTATACATAGATATCTGATTAGCTTATCTTGCTCTTGTTGTTTATTGAAAAGACTTTATGAAGGATCTCAACCAGTGTTAATGGTCAGTGATCAGGAGAGGATCAGGGAGTAGCACTTAATCCCGAATGTCAAAATCGATTGGCTCAAGAAATTGATTCAATTGGTACCTTTAACTATGATAACATATCATCGGCACCTTATTTGGATGCGGTGATTAATGAAAGTCTCCGTATCGATCCTCCAGAGACTCGTAATGAACGCGTTTGCCACTCAAGTTATCATCATCTCGAGACCAATATTGTTATTCCCAAGGGTGCTAAGGTGCTAATGCCGATCTATTCAATGCATCATGATCCCGTTAACTTTCCTGATCCTGAAACATTTAGTCCCGATCGTTTTTTACCCGAAAATCGTGAATCAATTCAACCTTTATACCCTTTGGTACAGGTTATCGTGCATGTATTGGTATTAAATATGCTTTAATTGTTTCAAAATTGGCTCTTGCAAAGTTGATTAAATCTTATCGATTAATTGTTACTCCATTAACCACAATTAATGTTGATAAGCGCAAAACGTTTAATTGATAAAATTTTAGTCTGGAATCCATTGATAGGATTTTTTGAAATCGGGAAAAACAGAATCGGACAAAATTTCTTGTAAACTACCAAAATTTATTGAGGTGTTTTTTTTTGTTTTGACTGTCAATTAAATTAATTTTTTATGCTGTTAAGATCAATTTAAGTCTCTTTCAACATGGGAGTCTATGGATACGAAAATGACGGTTTTTGGCCCTGTACTCAGAAACTGTCCAGAGTCAGTTTCAAATCCTATCACTGGATTCCAGACTAAAATTTTATCAATTCTTCTTCATTCTTATCTAAACTACTATCAAAAACAAAAAAAAATATAAATGATCCCTCTTTTCATTTATATTCAAAAAACTGGTGTACAAGAAATTTTTTCAAGCACCAAAGTAATTAATGAAATTATGATCATTGTCATTTTATTAATAATTAAACTAAACTAAACATACAGGCTTAAATTCATATTGTAAACTGGTTCTTGTTTAATTTAAATTAAATCGAAAATGAGAAAGATTAACATCTCTTCTTATGTTTTATTATTAAATTCTAATAAGTTTTCTAATTATTATTAATATTTCAATTTAAATAAGCAATTAGTTAATGAGAAATCATTTTCTCACTTTATGATTGTTTTCTGTGTAGCGCTTCTCATTGTTTACTCTATGGAGAGAGCACTGTAAGTTCATTCATTGGCACCAAATACTCTAAAAATAGCTATTAATTTTCAGTGATTAGTCGTATTCATTATCAGATAATTCTCATGATTAGTTCTATCATTAATTAAATTCAAAAGATAAAAACGCACCAATTGATGAGTTATCAACAATCAAAATTACATGTATGTCAAATTTTAGTGGCACCTCGTTTGGTCCTCGACCAACGATCAACGGAAGGCGTTGTTTTTGCCCGGTGCAAATAATAATAGCATATTAAATTGTTACAAGTAGTAAAGAAATCGGATGATGCACCCGGAAACTGGATTTTCTCCCGGAAGTGGGAGAAACTGACCAAAGTGGTTGCAACCAAGACTTCCGGTGGGAACTTCTGCCAGTGGGTGGAAGTACTTTCCGGGTGCATCACCCACTTCCGGTGGTAACAATTTTAACCCTATTTAGGTGGTAGTAACTAGCCACATAATAAAGATACCTATTAACCGGAAGTTCCGGTAGAAAGAATTAAACTGTATTTTCAACGGGTTTTTGAATAAAAGGAAAGTGACGAAAGGTTAGAAAGACAGTTATGATGGTTCTTTTGCTTACGTTGGTGATTATTGTGGTTGTCTTAGTTCTTTTACTGTTTCGGGTGTTTTATTTGGATAATCTAAAGTATGGAAATGTTACCCTTGCCTAAGTATGAGATTGTGAATATTGTTTCATTATGGAATATAGATCCGGTTGTTATAAATGTGGACAATACTAATAGACGGAAGAGGTTTAATGCTGAAGTTATACGTAGGAAAGAAGGAGTTTTCTTGGTTTTTGCATCTGGTAAAGTAACAGCAACGGGTTTTACTGATGTATCAACAGCGGGAGCTGTCTTACAAGAAGTATATCCGGAAAGAACGGTATCATTTCTCAGGGTTGTTAATATAACTGCCCACAGTTTCATTAATTATTCATTTAATACGAAAATGATGATTGATACTTATGCGGATACAACTTATGAACCGGAAATCTATCCTGCAGTTTATATAAAGATAAATAAGGTAACTTTAATTTATTATACGACTGGATCGTTGATTATAACTGGTGCTAAAGACCAAGAACAAATTGAGTCAACATTAAGAGAGTTTACAAACCGGACGTTAACTCATGCATGACAAGTATAAAAGGACAATGAAAATGAGAGTTTGTATCATTTGAATCAAAAATGTCAGTCATTACCTGTGAAGAGTTATCTGTAAGGGTTTGTCGCCTTTATGAACGAAGGATTGCTATTGAAAGTGATAGAGAACCTAGACTTTTGAACCGTCCGGTAAGATTAACGGGTTCTGAGTATAAGTTCTGTATTGAATATGCCGAGGATTTCGAGAAGAGACCATCATATGTGAGATTTGATGACATTATTGTTAAAAAGGAAAGTGTTTCATCATTCAGTGTTTCAAAAGGATGTTTGGAAAATGTTACTACCCTTCGTGATTTTTGGACCGATCAAAGACCATTTTGTGATGCGTTGTTACATTTAATGTATAATGATGTGTTTCCGGTTGAACAGTTACTGGATATACATATTTTAACTAAAAAGATGTCTAAAGAAGATATTAAAGAGAGGAAGTGGCCGGAAACGGAAATAAGTGGTATTAATGTGCTTAGTGGTTTACTAAAAGGACTACGATTACTGAAGAAACCACAAAACCGGAAGGTGGATTATACTGCTCTGGATAAATTTGCCGAAAAGAATAGGAGCTATTCAATTCGTATGTTGAGCTTTTGTATTTAAACAGACATCAATAAACGATTCTCGTCATTTAAAGTTTAAATTTTGAAGAGTTAAGATGTCAAGTGAAATTAAATCGTGGGTAGTTGTCTCAGAACCTGATCTCATCTGTCGTTTAATGTTTACCGATAATGTTAAGAGACTAGATGTCCGTGCCTTGGAAAATTTCAAATATACTAAGTATGGTGTATCTCTGTCAAATTCAGAGATAAATTTCTGTATGGCTTTTGCTGAATCATTCGATAAAGTACAAAAATCTGTCTGTTTCTATAAAGTTACTGCGGAAAAGAAGAGTGATAAATCATTTTTCGTACAAAAGGAAGACAAACCTGGGTGTGAAACCCCTGTTGAATTTTGGAAATCTCTCAAACCATTTAAAGAAGCTATACAATGGTTGATTTCATCATCGTCATTACCAATTGAAACATTAATGGATTTATGTTTCTTGACAACTCAAATTTCAAAAGATGAAATGATTAACCGGAAATGGAATCATATCACTTCCGAGTACACCCCATCTCGAACATCCTTCCTGTTTTACCTTGGTTTAGTAAAACCGGATGAAGCTAAACCCCGGAAGATCGATATCGATTCATTAGATCGATTCATGTACGATGATCCGATTCTTTTCGATTCTTTGGTTCAATTTTTGTATATAAACGCAGATTAATTTGGATTTTCAATCAGTTTCAAATCATCCTTCAACGAGTTAACATCAATCTATAAAATGTGTTCAACTATCTATATGGAATTCATCTGTTGTTATTTCGATACTCAAGGCTTCTACATCAACGAGACCTATCATCCGATAGAAGTAGCCATGTCTGGGGACAACTTTCTGTGGCATACGAGAGTGGCCAAGAAGTGCGGATGTCAACCATCGGGAAGTGAAAAAAGTCAAATGAGGTACCTCACGGAGAATCATCATGGACTTAGAGCTGAAAGTGAAGGGTCCATGTTATGTGAAGTTAAAGAGTTGGTAAAGGGTATGTACGAAAGCAATCGTACTGAAACGAAATTCCTGGTAGCTTGCCGATCACGTGAGTCGGAATTTATGTTGAAGAGGTTCAACATTCCATATATTAATATTAACGATAAGTATGGAGCAACATTTGCTAAAATCAAAAAGGGAAGAAAACCATGTGTTCTACATGGATTCAGGATGGAAGATTCAATCAAATGTTCTCTCAATCTTATCCAGGATATGGAACAATTTGTAAAACCAAAACTTGGTTTCTAAAATTCAACTGTTTAAGAAAAATTTAATAAAATGATTTGAATTAATAACAATGAAGACTTTCCAAGTTTATTTACACCACCCTTTCACAATGATGGTCGCGGGACCAACAGGTTCAGGTAAAACATATTGGTTGAAAAAGTTAGTTGATAATGTAACCAAGTATTGTTCACCACCTCCAGTGAAGATAACTTACTTTTATGGTGAGTATCAAGATGTTTTTTCAACAATGCAAAATGTTAATTTTATACAAGGATTACCCGAAAATTTAATAAATAAATTTGACGGGATAGAGTCAGAATGGATAATAATTGATGATCTAATGCTCGAGTCAACCAACTCTAAAGTGATAAGTGAATTGTTTACCAAGGGATCACATCATCGGAACTTATCCGTCATTTTACTTGTCCAAAATTTTTTCACTAGGGGTAAAGAGAGTCGGAACATATCGTTAAACTCTCAGTATTTAGTATTGTTTAAAAATCCTCGTGATCAATCGATTATAACAAATATAGCCAGACAAATGATGCCTGGTAGAGTTAGTAAACTCCAAGCTATTTATGAAGATGCAACAAAGAATCCATACTCGTATCTGTTTGTTGACTTGAAACCGAAACTCAATTGAAACTAGATTTCTAACAAATGTTTTGGACGAAAAACCATATATTGTTACATATTTAGTATAAGAAAAAATAGATTTATGATAAACATCAAATCAAAAAATGAGTGTTAAAAGAGCAGTTAAACATTACTCTTGTCTTCAGGCATTAGCTAAGGCTAAGAGTGCACAAGAAAGAAGGAAAATTCTATTAAATTCATCGAAATGTATTTATTCTGTGATAATTGATATTACAAAACAAATTCTAGCGGGTAATATACCAATGAAAGCAAAAGATAAAGTAAAATTAAAAAGGTATAAGAATACATTACGTAAAATAAGTGGTAAAGTGTCAAGTTTACAGAAAAAGAATATAATTGTTCAGAAAGGAGGTTTTTTACCATTACTGATAAAACCAACATTAACAATTCTAGCATCTCTTGTGGCAAATAAATTGATGGAAAAATGAATGCGATTACAAGAATGTACCTTGTTTCAGAAGATCAATATAAACGTAATGTTTTGAGACCAAGTACAACAAGGAAGATACTAGCTAAAAACTTACCAACAGAAACAAAAGTGAAATTTATAAATAATATATTAGCAAGAAATCAAGATAATTTCTACCAACCAGAACCATTGGCATTCGCCGATCCTCTTGTTGAACCATATCAACAACCAGAAATAGAACAAGAGGAGTATGAAGTAGAACCTGATGTGAAAGAAAGTGACGAGCAGAGTTCATTTACAATAAATGACCCAGTAGCATTTAGTACACCTTTAACGAGTAAACAGTTGGTAGAGAAAACACCACTTCAACTAAATACACAAAGTCCAAAAAACGCTTCGGAAGGTTTTAAAAGTCACGACAATGCTTTAGAATTGATCTTGAGAAGTATAGAGGGTCTTGTTGGTCCTGACAACCTAATAATTGATGATCATGGTAGACCTTTTATTAGAAGTAATGTTAAACATATTGTTGAGTATCTAAGAAGTAACCCTAAAGGACGAGCACCAGATGGATACCCTAGAGTAGTCCGTGCATTAATAAATAGACCTGATGCAAAGAAATTTATTATAAACAGTAGAGCATTGAAGACAATTAATTCACCATCATGGAAGAAACTATTTTCACCAAGTTAAAGGACATTTATTATAATCCTAAATCCCCCGGGTCGTTCGGCAGTGTGAAAAAGTTATACAAAATAGCTAAAGAACAGTTGCCCGAGTTAAAGTATAAAGATACTGAGAAATGGATGTATGATCAAGACGCATATACATTGTTTCGTCAAACAAATAAAAAATTCCCGAGATTACCCATTTTAGTTGATAGAATAGACGAACAATGGCAAGCTGATCTAATGGATATGACTTGGGTCGCTAAAGAAAATGGAAACAAAAAGTATATACTTGTGATAATTGACTGTCTTAGTAGGTATGCATGGGCAGTAGCAGTTGGTGATAAGTCAGCTAAAACAATGATTGAATCATTCAAACATGTAATAGAAAAAAGTAATCGTAAACCTGAAAAATTACAAACTGATCAAGGAAAAGAGTTTGTTAATAGGTTTTTAAAAGAATATTTGAATGGATTAAATATAAATCATTTTACAGCAACAGATGGAACTATCAAGTGTGCAATTGTTGAGAGATTCAATCGAACACTTAGAAGTAGAATTTATCGTTATTTTTACTACAAGGAAACTCACAAGTATATCGATGTACTCGATGAAATAATTGAGGGATATAATTCATCGTATCATCGAATTATAAAGATGTCACCTCAAGAAGCCTTGAATGATCCACATACAGCTAAAAGTAACATCTTCAAAGCTCAGAAAAAGAATAAAAAGAAACAAAAACCATTTAAAATTGGAGATGAAGTAAGAATAACTACAAATAAATTGATATTTGAAAAAGATGCAACTAAAAAATGGAACGAAGAGGTATTCAAGATTGTTAAAGTCAAACACACACCACAAGGATACATTTACCGTTTGGTTGACTGGGGAGATGAACCAATAACATCAATTTTCTACCACGATGAATTGTTCCCATCAAAGTACCCTGATTTGTATAAGACCACTGTATTGAAAACAAGGATAAATCCAAAGACGAGAAAGAAGGAATACTTTGTAAAGTATAGAGGTTACCCGGATAAGTTTAACGCTTGGGTTGATCATGTCGAGAATGTCAAGTGAATTTGTTGTTGATGTTATTTCAAATGCAAGTATGGATATTTATAAAAACAATACATTATCTGAATTTACAAATCGTTTACCACAAAAATTGATTCTTGATGGTGATTGGGTGGTAGCAGTACAAGAGATAATTTACCCACTTTCACATAAAGGAAATAAACGAACAGTCAAATGGGTCTTCAATCAAAATGAGTCGTTCAAAAGGGGTAACATTCAGAGAAATAAATTTGAATTTGAGTATATTGAAACGGACAATATTGTCAAAATAATTGAAGGATTTAATAAAAGTATGGCGGAAGGGTATGAGATTGATAATCCAAGCTTAGAGGATGATGAATTAAGACCTCCAATCATGTCACTTAGGAAAGTCAACGAAGATGGTAAAGAGAAGGACAAAATTTTCTTTCAACTTGGAAGATTACCAAATTCAATTCATCCAGTTTTTCCTCTATGTGATGACCAATCTTTTATGAGACTTCTCGGATTTGATGTGTATGCATTACCGAGAAAAATTGCCGAAGCATTTAAGAACAAGAGTTTCTCATTGATTGCACCTTATCAGCCGGATATTGGACCTAAAGGTCATTTAGTTTTCATTTGTACGGATATAATTCATGAACATTTAGTTGGTGATACAAATGCTCGAGTGCTTAGAGTTATTCCTTTGAATAAGAACATTGGTGATAATTTACACCATATGACATTTACAACACCCTACTATTATGATGTTAGAAAGAATGAAATTGATGAAATTAGTATAAGGATTGTTGATGAAAGTGGTGATAATATAAAATTTAAATCAGGAAGAGTCTTTTTAAGTTTACATTTTAAAAGAAAATGAATCGTAAAGTTTACTGTGCATGTGATAGTGATTTTTCACATCATTACCAACAACAAGCTGGTGCTGGTATATCTGACATTTCCGTTTTTCGAGGTCAACCATACCAGAGAGGATATGGATTAGGATCTGTTTTTACTCGATTTGGTGTCCCAATTTTAAAATTTCTAGCTAAACAATTTGTTAAAACTGGTATAAATGTGGGTAATGATTACCTGACTGGTACTAATTTTAAAACTTCCTTGAAAACTCATGGAAAACGAGGTATAAGAACTGCAGCAAAAGAAGGATTAAGTAAATTATCTGAGCTTGTCGATCAGACTGGTAGTGGTATAAGAAGACGTAAAAGAAAAAGAAAAGTAACCTTAACACAGACAAAGAAGAAGAAGAAAAAGGATATTTTTTCATGATGGAATATCTTCACGAAGCATCTCTTCCAGCGAGTAAATCAGAGTTGCAAGTATTTTCAATACCACCGACTCAAACGGCGATTGAAAGCAGTTATGAAGTTGAGTATCGTCCTAGTGCAAGTCTTGAGTCAAACAACTTTTATGAAATCAATGTTCCAGCAAGTGAAGATTTTACAGACTTGGCATCTACCATGTTACATATTCATCTTTCTGTTACTACTAAAAAGGGTGAAACTCTTACAACAGCCAATAAAGTTAAAGCGGTTAAGGATTTTGGCAATGCATTGTTTGAACAAATTGATTTATCTATTGGTTCGGTTAATACTGTTCAAGCAAATAATACCTACCATTATCAAGCTTATTTGGAAGACTTGTTCTTTAGGCACCCTAATCAGGTTGATTCAGGTTTTGAGGTGTCTGAGGAATCCCTACGAGCTCCTTTTGATCTTTATTTTAGGTTACATTCGCCACTGTGTGAACAGGACAAACTTTTAATTAACGGGGTACCTCTAACATTTAGATTCACAAAAAGTCCGGAAGGATTTCCTCTAATCCGAGCTGATGATGATACATCAGAATATAAAATTAAATTTGAAAGATTTGCTCTTCATATTAAAAGAGTAAAGTTATTCCCGGAAGCTCAAAAAAGCATCATTTCCGGATTGGAAAAAGGTCCAGCTAAATATTTCATTACAAGAAATGACGTCAAGTCTTTTTCTATTCCATCCGGGCAATCATCAGCTTCCTTTGAAAATGTATATAATGGCATTTTACCAAGACGTGTATTGATTGGACTTGTTAAAGATGTGGCCCAGGATCAAAATATAAGTGTTGACCCATTCGAATTCAAGCATTTCAATACAAACTTTGTCGCCTTTACAGTTGATGGGACAATGATCCCATCAATTCCATATACACCTAACTACAAGTCTAAATATTACATGAGAGAATTTATCAACCTTTACCGGTTTTTCAATCAAGATGAGGGAGTTCCCCAATTAAATATTAAATATACTGAATATCCGGATAAAAACGCTTTGTATGCATTTGATCTTTCTCCCGATGGATCAATTGGCGCTGAAAACGGTACCTTGTCCCTTATAAAAAGAGGCAATATAAGACTTGATTTAAAGTTTTCTGAGAAACTGGAATCATCAGTTAAAGTGATTGTTTTTGGTCAGTTTGATAATCTCATTACAATTGACAAAGAAAGAAACATTGCCTTGGACTATTAGAAATGGCTATAACAACCTTACAAATTATAAATGTGCTCAAAGACTTGCCTTGGTTTGATGGTGTTTATCCCTTGGACAGATTACCGGTAACTCTCTCACAACATAAGGGAATAATCATCAACCTGGATGAACATGATAAAGAAGGAACCCATTGGGTGGCCCTTTACTTGGACAGAAATAAAATCGCCCATTACTTTGACTCTTTTGGAAGAGCACCGCAAGGCTCTATTTTGACTTTTATTGAAAGAGTATCCCGCTATTATTTATTTAATCCTACCAAATACCAAGGCAATTTATCTGTAGCCTGTGGTTATTTTTGTATTCTTTTTATTTTATCAGTTCATGAACTTAATAACTTTTACAAGTTATTCCGAGCTTGTAAACATATTCAAAATGAAATTGTATTGATCAATATGTTGAAAATTCATTTAATGGATTAATAAAGTTATTTTTAAATTTATTTACAATGTTTCATTTGATTTATGATGACCATAAGCATAACTATTAATTTTATCATTTAAAAGAAATCTCTTATCATCAAATGGTGATAAAGCTATTTTGTTTTGTTTAATTAAACTAATTTGATGATTTCGTGACCCTAATCTTGTTACATTTTCACTATGTACATTCTCATCAAATAAACACCTAACATAATCATCATAATCAATTTTATTCTTCAATGTTGACCTCTGAACTCCTTTGGCCACTTTCTTGGTACCATCATCAGTCTTGAAAGCATAGAGCTTTGGTTTGATCCCAATGAATTCATGAATTGGCTTTCCACCCATTTCATCCTTCAAGTAACCAATCTTTCGGTGATTATCAGTTGAATAGAGGGGACTGGAAGGGTCATAATTGGAAAAGTCCATGATTTCCAACAATGATTGAAAATCTTGTGTCAAGTTATCAGTTTCAACTTCATAGATGAGAGAATCAGTATCAGTGTAAATCAACTGAATCTTATCATTGAAATGATTCTTGAACTTATCATAATGTAATTCATACATTTTTAATTTAGCAAGTTCAAGAATTGAGAATCCTACTGATATTGGCTTGTTCATGACAACTCTTGCTTTTTTAATCTGAACCAGAGCCAAATTATCGTTCAAGATCAAGAACCGTTCACAAAGCTCTTTTCTCAGTTGGAAGTTGGCTCTACTAGGTGTATCAACTGCAACTACATTGAGATGATTCCTTACATTTTCAATAGTTTTCCCATAAAGAGCATTAACATTCAGCTTCCAAAAGTTACTGTCAGCAGTGTTGGTAGCTAATTGTCTCTGTACAGTACAGAAATCAACATATGTCTTGAGCCAGACCTCTTGGTAGAAGGTGATAACACGATGGAGTTTTGTTATTAACATTCCCTTTTCCTTGTAGAACTTTAAAGTTCGATAATGAAGAACCATTTTCTCCTTTTTATAAAATGTAGTCATTAATTTTGGTGTTGGTCGATATTTAACACCTTGTGATTCAACATTCACAAGAAGTGACTTTTGGTAATCACTCAGCTCTTCCCTTGTGATCTCTCTCCTTTCTGGTGCAAGAGGGTAATCATTATGTAGATCGTGAATCTCTGGAGGATACTCTAGATCTACTTCAACAAAGAAACCATAATCATTGTCATCTGGTGTTGATAAAATATCATCTAATAATGTATCTGATGAATTAATGTCAACCCACTTAAATCCTCTAACAGGTAATCTTTGAGTCATTGCATACCCATAAAGGTTATTCACATCCAAGTAAATAATGTGAGTTTGTGGCTTTGATGGATCATAATTGGGAACTTGGGGATTATTAGCGACAACATGTCTCTTGCTGACCATAGTTAATCCTCCTCTGATCCCTTTTTCAATCATCATCAACATGTCCAGATTAGAAAACAAAGTGAGGTTGATGCAAGTTGTTTTAAGTGCTGCAGCCCATGTTAAGCCTGGTGCTGACCAATGATGAGGTGGATCAATGTTGAAAAATTCAATACTTGTCCCCCTGAAATTTTCAAACACTGCAGCAAGTAAATAAACATCAACCTTTAGGTAAATATCATGGAAATCACCTAATGATTGACAATTGAATTTGGTCCAAATTTCATTCAAATGATCATACACTTCTTGATTTATATTTGAATCAGTCAATGTAGAGTAAAATTTTTCGATGGGAGGTAATGATGTTTCACTGAACCTCTCATGTGAATCCAGATACTCATATGGAAGAGATCCTTTCTTCAATAACAGTGAAACATCTCCTGGAAACGCCTGTTTAATAAATTTTTCTTTTTTATCCACATTTAATTGGGATGAAAGTGTATCCAAACTAGATGGTAAAAATGCCAAACTATCAATGAACTTGAATCTATCCAGTTGAAATCCAATATACTTTTCAATTGTATGTGCGAGGATGGTCGGTGGCCTGTTGAACATTCCACTTTCTAGGGCTTTGATAATGATGTGACCATCAAAGTTTTTCAAATTATGGAAAACCACAGGAACATCTTTGGGTACTTGGTAATTAATATTACATTCCTGATGGGCCGCTCCTCTGAATTTACCGGTTAGATGATCATGATCACGAACAATTGTACCTTTACCGAGTACTCGCAAACAAATGTGACAATACTTTGAATTACGCATTATCAGTTCATCATTTGGTGTCATATTTACGTTGGGGAAAGTATTGTCTTTGAAGTATTGATCAAGAAATGGTTGCAAATTTAACAATTCTCTAAGGAAAACAAGAGCCACATCATTTCCACGATAAAATTTTGAATGGATCACTTCTTGTCTCCAGTTAACCACAATCAAACCAAAACTACATGGTTCATTAAGTTTAATTTCACCAGTAACATTAGCTGTTGGAATTGACAGAGTTTCAAAGTCACCGTAAATCATAAAAGGATGCTTTGACTCTTTGTTGTATTTATTACGACAGATGTGAAGATATTCACCACTTGGCATTGATACACGTTGTGGGTCGACTTTTTTACAAAACTCAAGATGATCACTTAGTTTTTGTCTTTCTCGAAAATGATAGAGACATCTTGGACAGCAGTAAGCGTGATTTTTACCTCGCACAAAAGATTCAAGACGAGTGATTGTATGAAAATGTTCATTGTACAAAAATAAGTTTACATGTTTAGAACATTCATCTTTGACTACTTTGAGTGGAATCACAATTTTATCCTCTTCATCAAATGTATAAACATTCACTGAGATGTTATTTCTCTTCTCAAATCGAGAAATTTGGTGTAATTCGACTATGCCACGAACCATAGAAAAATCATACCTATCAATAAGGTCACTATATCTCGATGTTCGTTCAGCATGATCCAGCGGATGAAGACCAGCTAATACACTATACATGAAACAATCAGTTATACATTTAACAGTTCGTATGGACTTTGTCTTCTTCATCAACTCTGTTGGAAGAGGATGTTGCATGCAACCACCTTTAATTGGTCTGAACTTTAAGATGCGAAGTTCAATTGTATCAATTTTTATCAGACGCCATCCACTTCCTCTTTGAGAATATTCATCTATTTGAGACTCTAATCCATGGAGAGAATCAGTAACTAAATTGATAATATCATCGGCCTGCATCAAAGTTGTTAACCTTGTCCAGATGTAGTCCATTTTTTGTACAATTCCTTCATTACCATTATCTTTCTCAAAGGTCATATGTAAACAGAAATGGAATTTTATCAACTTTTTAACCAATAGTTCATGAGATAATACCCTTATTATTTCATTAAACATTACATTGATTAAGGTACTGACATCATAAACTGAAGAGAGAACACATCTATACACAGCAAATGTATTTTCAATCGCGGTCGCCATTAGTTCGAATTTGTTTGATGGTAAGAGTAAAGACACTGTCTTCCTCTTTTTAACTGGTTCATCTTGTTGCACTGAGACACGTTTGACAGAAGGTCGGTCTTGAATAATCTTGGGTTGATAATCATCTTCTTCTTCTGCTGGTGACGGTAATGGTGCTGATGATGATGATGATAATGATGATGGTAATGGTGCTGATGATGATGGTAATGGTGATGGTAATGGTGATGGTAATGGTAATGGTAATGGTGATGGTGATGGTGCTGATGATGATGGTAATGGTGATGGTAATGGTGATGGTAATGGTGATGGTGATGGTGATGGTGATGGTGATGGTGATGGTGATACAAGATCAATAAAATCCGGTATCTTTTCAATAATTGTAGTTAATTTATTAGTACCAGCAAACTTGATAACTGAAGTGGGTACTCCGGTAACAGGTAAGATTGATTGTTCATTCTCTACTTGTGTATCCCGTAATAAATCATCAATATCCTCCAATGATATTTGTTGTAATGTTGATTGTTGACCCAGCTCTTCACAAAATTGACTGAATAGAGCATCAACTTCTTGAGAAAATGACGGAGACGACTGTGGCACTGGTTGATTGTTGATCACTTCTTGGGAAATCATCTCAGACAGTTGAGCGAATAAGTGATCAATGTTTGACGATAATTGATCGTTCAAAGATGGTACTGTTGATGAAGTTAACTGTGGTAACTGTTGCGGTGAATCGGTTGTGGCGAACACATCACTCATTCTACAGACACTGTAGGAACACTGACATTGATGAGATAAATAATCACCTAAAGTGAAAGACCTGAGGTCACAACAAGGACAAGTAAAACCCTGTAAAGAAAAATAATTAGTTAACCGAAATAAAAGATGATAACAATAGGTTGGTTTCATTTCTCTTCATTTCTCTTTAATTTTTTATACTCTTCTCTCGATTTATGAAAATACATGTTTGAATTATTTTCATGTTTCCTAGAAAGAGTAAGATAATAATTGGCCCTTTCCATATATACTAGGAACATATCTGGACATTTTCCAGCTTGTTCAATATAATAAAGACCCAACTCGTGGTTAGTCATAGCTGCTCGCTGAGTATATGCAGCTCTCTTCTCAAGATAAGCCATCTTAGCTCGAAGGTTACCTTCACTGATGGCTTTCTGACGTCTTTTCCTTTTATTCTCCTTCTTCTTCTGGTTCTTGGAGAGTTGATTTGATGATTCCTGGAGAGAGAGAAACAACAAGAGAAATGAAGAGAAATGATAACCAAGTTATAAGGACTTACCATTTTAATAATTAACAGATGTGATGTAACAGGAGAGAGATAAATGTTTATCGTATTGTGGTAACAATAGACTTACTTTGATTGACAAGAAATGGAGAGAAAAATCTTTTACTTATATACAACTATTGATATACAAGATTTACAGTATACTTTTAGAACTGAATTTTTGGTGTAGAGATTGAATTTATCATGATGAAAACATCATCAGATAGGTTCAGTATAGTTTGAAATATAATTATTTATGTTCAGAATTGGATTCTGGTAACTCAGTCATGATACATGGAAATTTAGGAAAATCTCAATTCTGATTGGTTGTTGAGATCAAAGGATACCGCTAACGATTTTCTCACGTCAATTTAACATGTAAAACGTTCAATTATTACATCATTTCCAGGAAAAAAATTTTCTCCCATAGACTTAACATTGACCGTAACATTGAAGGATTTGCGCCCGGAAGGGGGTGGGGCTTAGAGGTCAACCAATATTTTTTTCTAATGTTTCTCGATGAGCTCTATCGATTGACATTAGTCTCATGTCTCTAGCACTTATACTTCCTGAGATAATTTTTTTGTCACGTGACAAAAGTTACTAAGACCTCTAGCCTTTAAGCCTTTGACCTGACAAAGATGAAAATAGGCGCATTTGGCACTTTTTTTTCCTCCTCTATCCAATGATACCAACCATGATGCTCTAGCACCAATAGAAAAAAAGGGGGAAAAAGGGGGGAAAAATTGTGAAAAAAAACCTTTTTGCCTTTGACCTTACAAACTTGGTTTATAGTTCATAGGCTTTGGTTGTTTGCAGGATTTGTTCCTGATTTTTTTCAGAATTTTAACACCCACCCCCTTTGGATTATCATGAAAAATCATTTTCCCCCATAGGGACCCATGTTAAAAAATTTAACCCCAATTAGCACCCAGATAGAGTAATTAACATGTCATTTCCTTAAAGGGTTACATCAGATTAATCCCATTGGTCAATTAGATTATCATCATCTTAATCTTCAAACGGTTTTTAGATCAGTTTAGATTAACCCATAATCTTATCAGTTTTAATCTATTTGTTTAATTGATCACTTCATTTTAATTTGTTCCCTCTAAATAAAATCATGAGTCTTTTGTACGACTTAATTGAAACCCGCCTCATCATTAGTGAAACCATAACCGACCCTGAACGGAGAAGTTTTGTGACCAACTTCCTCGAAAGGGTTTCACGGGTAATCGATGATGTCGAGGAAATGGAAATTGAGTTGGGTGTTCCTTCACCACCACCACCACAATCAGTATCATCTCCACCACCACCGCCACCATCACCAGTTCCTTCTACATCATCATCATCATCCCTTGGTGATCTCTCAATCTTTACAGATTCATCTGTAAATAAACAGATAGAAACAATTAGTGATGCTCTGATGAGCATGAATTCTCTTCTTACCATCCTTGTTCAGGATAATAAATCCATAAATGAAAAACTTAACATGTTGGACTTAAGAGTCCGTGATAATGTTAACATCTCCGAAGTGTGTGGAGGAATGCCAGGACATAACCCGCCGGCAACGAGCTCAACATTTGGCCCTGGTCGAATTTCTTAACACCATACGTGAGGATATGGTAAATCGGGCTCAATTCGCCTACGAAAACAACCGATCGGAATTTTCATCTTTAAAAGAATTGGTCATTACCTTCGATCGGTGCAACGATTACCTCCTGAAAGAGTTGAACCGATTGGCCGGTCACCCAAATATTTAGTCTTTGGTTTAGCAATTTGCTGAATTACGTTTTTTTTATCATTCCTTTAATTGCTCAATAAAACAAAAAGTTTGTAATTTAAGTGCAAAATTACATCATCAAAAAATAAGATTAAATAAATGTAAACGTTTGCAAAAATTACTCATACCAATAACAAAATTAATTAACGAGAAAAAAAGTTGCAAAAAGAAAGAGAAATAAAATTCACTTTAATTGAGTTAAAATCAGAAAAAAATTTCACCCAAATCGGGTTAAAATTGTTACCACCGGAAGTGGGTGATGCACCCGGAAGATACTTCCACCCACTGGCAGAAGTTCCCACCGGAAGTCTTGGTTGCAACCACTTTGGTCAGTTTCTCCCACTTCCGGGAGAAAATCCAGTTTCCGGGTGCATCATCCGATTTCTTTACTACTGTTACAACCCTTATCTTGATTCTATCGACAATTTATTGATAACAATTAAAACAAATTACATCTACTCATTAACTTTTTTTTCATTAAAATTCAACTACGTTAACAAGTTACTACATTAAAAAGTATAACCATCGCCAAGTATCAGCTTGAAAATGTTACCTTTATTGTTAAGTGTTTGTTTGGTGATTATTTCTGGTAATTCAGGTAAGCTTATATTAAACTTAGCTAATTGTTAGCAATTGATTAATATTTCAATCAAATTATTCTCTCAGCTACAATTACTTCATTGATGGACTTACCGTTGAATTTACCAAAGGGTAATTACATTATTGATGCAACGTTAAAAGACTTGGTAAATATTAATCAATGTTTTAATCTGGAAATTGAAACTATTACTAAATTAATTGATTGTTATAATTAACAGAGCAATGGAGATAAATACTTTATGAAAGAGTTTATTTCATCCAAATCAACAATTAACGGAATGATTGTAGTTGATTCACCTAAAAATACATTCAATGTTTATTACAATATGACGGACGGAAACGGAAAGGACAGTGATGAGCGTAAAGTGATTATGGGTAAATTTTTTAAATTAATTATCACTTCTTGTTAAATTGAAAGTAATTGTTGACTTTTTTTTCGGTAAGGTATCGATTGTTCATTATACAAATTGTCGAGCTCTCAACTCTTGCCTGGGATCAATAAGCGATTGACGAGTTTGTTAGTAGCCATGGGACCATCGATACTTTATCGTCTCGGACATAGTTCACTAATTAGGGTAACGTTAAATATCAAGTCAATAACAAAATTTTACAATCTAATGATTTTATTTTCAATCTAATCAACAAATCAGGAAAAGAGTGACAATGAAAATGTGAGAGGTAAGATAATGAAAAGTTTCACAGCCGATATCAACGATAAATTGAATATCACTTATTATTACAAATGTAAGTTAATTATCACCTCTTGGTGTTTGATTATTATCTTTGATTAAATTTCAATTTTTGCTCACATTCACCTTATCAAATCAGCTAATTTGGATAAAAAATCAGGTCTACAAGCACCGAGTCGAATTGCTTTCAGTGGGAGTGACCCATCATCTATACTTGATTCAATGAACGAGGATTTAATTTTGGACATTTACTATCAAAAGTCAGACTCGACTAAAGATTTATCAAAAACTGTCAACGTAAGATAATTTGTTAAGAAGCTCTTCTCCAGTCAACTTATCAATCGCCTTTGTTTCACAGCCACTTCCAGGAATCGGCTGTTCAACTTACTATGAAGATACGTTACCTTTACCAACATTGAATTCCCATCTTGTCCATTTCATACTTTCGGAAACAATTACTGGTGCAACAACTACTAAAAGTATCAGCGAGGTAAGAGATCAGCTTGAATATTTAAAGATTTGATAACAATAGTTAACCCTCACAACTATTAATAGATACATGCCAATGATAAGCTAAAATTGATGCGTTTGAAAACATCACCTCTTGGCGTTGAAATGGAAGCTCTTTATGACTATTCCCTCGGAATAGTTAATATATTTCAAGATGGAGGATCTTGTAACATCTCGATAGCTGAAAAAACATCACCCGGTGTTGACCAATTGACAAATCAGTTTAGTTTAAAAACATTACTTCTGCTGGATGGACATTACAGGTATTTAGGTGAAATGGTCCTTGTAAGTAAAAGATACTAGTCAATCTTCAACGATTAATTTATAATCATGAATGTTTTCTGTTTCCTTTCTCAGGAAAATCGACCTGGATTCGCGGTGAAAGCATGGGAATCGATTCGGTATAACACTATCACTAATAACGATAAATACGATAAGGTTGTGGTTACTCAATATTTCACTGAAACTGTAAGTTAAACCAAGGTTAATTCATTAAACTATTAATAGTTTTAATAAGAACTAAATTTAATTTGATTTTCTGAATTTTGAAAAGTTTATTTAATAATTTGCTTTTCTCTCGACCTTTTAGACTAGCAAAGTTGCTTTTAATGGATACCTGATTGTTGCAACGATAATTAATTGCTACAGATTAGACACCAAGGTAATTATTTTTACCAAAAATTTGATTTAAAAATCTAATTGATTATTATTATAAATACATACGACAAACTAATACTTTCTCTTAATTAATATTGATTAGCAAAAATTACAACTCGTTGAAGTTATTCAGAGAGATTACTTGGATTTCCGAGTTGTAGAATCTGAATCCAAATTTCATGATAAGTTTTCATTGGCTGGATGTAAATACTTCACTGGTGACAAGACACTTACCTTTCAACTAGGATGCCAAGGTAATATTATTAATACATTCGTTGATGAAATGTCAAATCAATAAAAACTTTCATAATTTAATCTAATTTTTAGCACCGAACTGTATGAAGTTCGCTGAAGATAACGTGTACGCATTAAAAGAGCACTTCAGACAGTCCCTACTTATCAACTATGACCTTAGTCCATTGAGAATAATTGAAATGGCCGTTACTTTCAGTACTTTGACGATTGATATCAGAATCGATTTTCTTGAAGCACCAAATCTACTAGGTGAATAAATTATAACCCAACTAATATTTTCGCTTCCCACTGACCGAAAATTCATTCTCTTTCGTATCAGATGTATTCTCACCCAAAACTTACTCTGTTAGCGATAATACTTTTAAGTCACTGTCACGAACAGTCAAAACTGCAGGAGAAATTGACTGTCTAAGCATTTTATCAACTGATTATTCTGATTTCGAGTGAGTTTAATAATGGTAACTTTTATTAGATTGAATTGATTTTCTTATTGTTTTATATTGCAAAAAGTATTGTGCTCTTCTGTCCAACGATTAATATTTGTGGTATCATGAAAGGAATCGAAAATGTCAAAGAAGATGATAAAAAAGGTCAAGCCTGTCAAGTGTTCCAAATACCATTACACAATTTAAATCGAATGGTTCATGAAATAACAAACAAAGATCTTCAATCCCGTTTACTTCGAGATACAGCTTACAAAACAGTCTCATTGACTGATAGATTCTGGAGTAGGTTTTATATCGAACTTTTTTGTCTTAATTTCTAACCATTTTATCCTTTTTCTTCAGAACCAGTCGATTACAAAGTAATTGATATTATTGATGAAACTCGAGATCAAACTGATCATTCAGGAAATCTTTTTCGCCTTTCTCATTCTGACGAAAAGTTGAGAGCCAACGATCCAAATGTTGCTGTGGCTGCGAACGTGAAAACATTTTCTGACTGTTATCGAAATTGCAAAACTCAGATGAATTAGAATGTCGAACTTTTCTTATTGTTCTGGAGAGAAAACAAGTGAATGTTTAGTTACGAATATGACCCCGCAAAAAGCTCCAATTGATCTGGCCAAGAGTGACTCAAACTGCGCAGTTTATACCAAAAACAATTTACTCGATTACTCAGTGATCAGAAATCGCCAATTCAAATCATTATCTTCGATTCCACTAGAATTGAATGTCTATCAATGTGCCTCAGAATGTAGTTCAGATGAAAACTGTGTCTCATTCCAAAGTTGTGGCACGACTTGTACCATGGGTGGATTTTATACCGATTCGGGCACCGAATATGATTCTGACTGCGAAATTTACATTCGTAAGTCTAATTAGTGGAAGGGTTAGAAAAAATGAACAATTATTAATATGACTATTGTTTTCTTATTTTCTTTAGCTAAAGTTTCGAATATGTATCAGCCCACAGGAAGAAAACTTGTATCGGAAACTTTTCACGTCGAATTCAATTTAAATTACAGCTTTTCTCAGTAACTTTCGCCGAGTTCTCAACTAATTAGTCGAGTTCCCATTTGGTTTCGTCAATCCGACAGAGGGCAGAGTTTTTTTCAATTAGTTCTCAGTGAGTTTCGCAGATTCTCAGATCATTTAGTCAAGTTCTCGATGAGTTTAGTCTATTCGCTTTTACATTGAGTAGAAAATTAAACTTTTTGATTAAAATTCATTTTTTAATTTTTTCTTTAAATTTTCATTGAATAATTGCTCAGATTTTTATGTTATTATTGTTGAGTTTTGATCAATTTTCGAATACGATTCACATTTGAAAATAGCAAAAAGATCTAAGAAAAGGGATGAGAAGAATCGCATTCGAAAACTGATCAAGTCTTGAGTAATAAAAATTTAAAGAAAAAATTAAAAAATGAATTTTAATCAAAAAGTTTAATTTTCTACTCAATGTAAAAGCGAATAGACTAAACTCATCGAGAACTTGACTAAATGATCTGAGAATCTGCGAAACTCACTGAGAACTAATTGAAAAAAACTCTGCCCTCTGTCGGATTGACGAAACCAAATGGGAACTCGACTAATTAGTTGAGAACTCGGCGAAAGTTACTGAGAAAAGCTGTATGATCAATGTGCCGCTTTATGTTACAGTTGGACTGATGATTTGGACTCTTGTCAATCGTTCAACTTCTGTCCAACAGGTCGATCGACAAGTACTTGTTCATTATCGAAATACTCGGTCAAAGATTCGAAGACTGCAACCACAGATGCGACGAATTGTTCCAATTACGAACTAGTTAAGAACTCGAATAAGAAAAGACAACCAGCTCCCACCGAAAAAAAAGGTACCAGCGGATCAGCAGCATTTGGAATAATTTTGATCTTCATAGCCACTGGTTTCTTATTCGGTATTGGACTTCCGATTGCATATTTGAAGATGAAAACATTATCAAGTCGAATTGCTCAAGGTACGTGGAACGAGCAAAGTTTCACTTGGGAGCGACAAGTGAACGATGAAGAGCCTGAAGCTGATGGCTACTCTGACTACAAAAGCAATTTGTAGTATTGGTTTGACCTTAGTCACTAAATGATTCGAAATTCAAGTGTTAAAATCACAATCAAAATGGAATAAATTAAATATTTTTTACAAATTATTGATAATCACGAAATAAACTCCATTATTATAATAAACTTTTCGGGCGTTTGTTCAATCATTTAATCACCAATGAATTTGAAATCTATTTATTGAAGATAATCAGTCATGTACTTATATTTTGCATTAATTATTGTAGTGATTACGAAAAACAATTTAATTATTTAAATAATTACCATTATCAGAATGTATCGTAAATTTTGCGAATTTAATTCGTCAACATATTCACCTAATCCAGCAAAAACAATTGAATCAAGATTAAAGAAGATTAGTTAGACGATTAGTAGTGATTAATGAAAACAAATAATAAAAATTTCCCTTTTCATCACCTTCAAGTTACATTAATTATCGAAATGCCTGTAAAGATAAATCTCTCTAGTAGTCTCTTCATTTATCCAATCAAATTCCGTTATACCAGCATCCCATTCATGAAATAACCTAATTGCCTCTCTAATGTCACCTTCATTGGACTCAGAAAATTGGTGAGGTTTGGGAAAATTGTGACTTTATGGAAATCTATTAATCTATTAATCTTTAATTGTAGAGGGAAAAATGATTTTTGTTTGCTCTTTGGAGTCTTGTTTTCAACACCAAATGGCCCCTCCACCCACCTTACTATCCCATGTTTAGTAACTTTGGCTCTCTCTAATAATAATAGTTTTTTTATTTTGTTATAATAGTTTAGTTAGGATAAACTCAACTACAATGTAAATTACTGGTTGATTGTATAATCTAAGCACAATTAATTAATTTTCTCTGAAACAAATCACTATCACTATTATCACTAAATTGATCTAAAACACTTTGATTGTGAAAAGGTGGGATAATGTAATGGTAAATGTAAAAATGTATCAATAATAATGATAATTGAAAGATTGTAATTATTTTCTCTTTAATCAAATGGGAAAATCAAAGAGTTTGTCAGATAATAGAGGGAACAACAAGAGAGATGCACTTGCCTTTTCTATTTATAATTATTAATTATCACTTTTCACTCTGTTAGTCTATTGATTGGACCAAATATCATCAACATATTTGAACTATTCCTTTTCTAATTATCGGTCAACAAAATCAGCATTTGTTTCACGATTAACTCCCTCTGATTCATATTATAAATCCCGGATTAATATAAACGAAGACCACAGTATCAACCAAGAGTCAATTGTTTCAAGTCTACTTGTTGAATTCATCACCAGTAAATAGAACTTCTTTAATTGAATCATTTTCTTTATTTCAACTATCAAATTAGGTTATTTAGATAATTTGGTTTTTATTAATTTTTTTTTGTTATTCCTGATAAAAGTCCGACATTAAGTTGATTGATTAACTTTGACGAATCAGAATCTACTAAATTAACTAAATTTACATTTATTGATTTGAATCATCATATTAATAATTGTGTTGATTGTTATGACTGTTACCAAGTTTTCTAAGTTCCATTGATCACATTGATCGTGATTGTAACTTATAATTGTGAAAAAATTTTGTCCGATTGATATTAAATTGCAATTTGATTGTCATGTTGATCAATCAAGAATTTTCTGAGAAACGAGGTTGATGTTGGAATAGCTATCAAGGTAAATAATCAAATCATCTCATCTTTTATTTGCCTCTCTCTTCAAAATTTGAATACCTGATTGTTATTTTCCAAGTGATTATCAAAGTTTTGTGATTTAGAAGCTTGATAATGGAAAATGGTATAACAATTAAATTGATCCGATTAAGAGGATCTAGATTTTCGAATGAAATTGCAAGTATTGATGTCGAAGTGATTGGATCGGACCATGAGCAAGTTCGAGTCCGTTTTATTGATGCCAATTGGTTTGAAGTTCCAATGCCTTTTCCAAATACATCACAAATCGATACAATTGATTCACCACTTTACACAATTAAGATTAATCAAAATTCAATTTTACAAGTTAATCGAGCATCAACTGGTTCAGCAATTTGATAACTGATATTTTTGATGAGACTCGAGACCAAACTGATCATTCAGGAAATCTATTTCACCTTTCTCAATCTGGAGAGAAGTTAATTGACAATTGCTCAATAAACCTCATAACCTTTTTGTTATTCATTGAATTAATTAATCACCAATTCATGTAAGTTTGAAATCATTTTCTATTGAAGATAAACAGTCAAATCTTTTCATTACATTGAATCCTAGGTTATGCTATAATCGAGTTTATTAAAATCAATTTTTTTTTATTAATAGTGGTTCTATCAATCTTATTTTTCCAAGTTCCAAGCAAATTGAATTTATAATACAATCAATCATCTAGTTTACTGGGAGAGAATCGGTATTATTATTACTACTATGTATCCATAATAGAAAGGTGATTAGTTTAAATTGTTAAATTGTAAGAAATTGGTCCAATTCTTCAGAAATTAAAACATGGAAGGTTCTAATGGTTCGAAATGTAATGTTAATAATTCGATTATTCTCATTAGTTTTATGTTCCCATCTAAATGGGTATTCTCATCCTTACCTAAATGGTTCCTAATATTCACGATCGGTATCACCAGTTCAACCGAATTGATTTCTTGGGCATTTGATTGGTATGGCTTTTACGTATCGAACGGACTACTTTCGCTTCGGTCAATACGTAGAGTGATTCTGTTTCTCACAATATGCTTGCAATCAGGAAATATGTTCTTTTTGAACTGGTCAAATTTTCGTGATTACTTTCGTTATCTAAGTGATCTCAGTCTCGATAAAAATTCTGATTCTGTTTTGATGATAAAACGAAAACGTCGAATAAAATATATCACTCTGAGCATATTGATGATTTCTTACAATATCCTCACTTTATTTGTTCCAAAAAATTCTGATAGTACAGTTATAAGCTTGTCATGGACTCTTCGCTATTTTCTTCAGCTTTTTTCCTGTCTTGGCAATCTATTCTTACTGAACATAGTCATTGATTCTTGTATCTGTTTGGAAGCCGCTTTCGACTCGATAAATACTATGATTAAAAACTTTTCTCGTCATGAAACACCGACAATTATGTTACAACAGTTGAAAAAGATTCGATCTGATTACAGTTACGCCGTTTTAGCTTCTCAGTCAATCGAAAAATTTGCTCGATATTTCATAACCGTATCATATATAAATTGCGGAGTCTTTGGGGTTGTAAATGCTGTATTCGCCTTTGGTCATGTAAAAAATGTCATTTGGATTCTTTTTATGGTGACTGATTCCATCTTAGTCGCCTACCTTACAGTTCGACTTGTTTCGATCAATCAAATTGCGACTTATGGATTAGAAGATTTATACAATATCTCTTTCTCATTAAGAACTCAACAATTACAATACGAGGTAAATGTCACTAAGAGAATAAATTGATTCAGTAGTAAACTATTTCTTTTCCATTTACTAAACTAGAATGATACTCTAATTAATCGAATGCTTTGGAAAAATGTTGGCTTCACCTTTGGAAATTTATTCGTAATTAACACCAATTTTATCACTTCAATGTTCACATTGACACTAACACTAAGCATTACTCTTGCTAATTTCCTTTACCAATGATTGCCCATTAAAATAAGGAAAAGTTCCAAACTAAAGCATTTTCTCTGTCAAATTGCGAAAAAAAATTCTGACCTGATGAAAGGTCAATACTAAGAATATTTGATTGTTACGTCCCACATAACCTCTCAATCTTTGATCCATAGAAGTTATCCAATAATAGTCCAATCAACCCATTTTCATTAAGTAATTATCATTGTTGAAACCATTTCATCCAATATCTGTAAACTCAGTTTTTTATCATCTAAGTTTGGAACATGAGAAAATTGCTTTTAGTTGCAAAAGACAAATAACGAGTCAAAGGTTTGAAGATTTTCACCTTGATAAACTCAAGTAATGGTCAAAGTTTCAAATGGACAACGAAAGTATTAGATGAGCAATCAGAAATTAATAAATGCTAAGTTGATCGACTCTCAATCGGCAAATATGAAAATGGAATTGGTGTTTCAATGGTTTCTTTTGAACTTTTCCCTCTCAAATGGTCAACTTTCGTTGGTCATCAACAATGTTATTATTTATTTGTGCTCTTATAATCAATTAAATCCATTATCCATTAATCTAAACCTTGAATCGTTATAATAAAATTGACCTTCAATGATTAGAACGTAGCTTAATTTTGTTCATCTATCGCTAATTATCAACACACCTTCAATTAGTATTATGATCTGATTAACTATTTCACTTTAGTTACATTTATTACATGTTATTCACATTAACTAAACTATGGTTAATTAGCTAATCATTATATCATCTCGATTGTTAACTGATTGCGAGTGAGTGATTTGCTTCTCTCTCAATCGAAATGAGGAAACAACTAAGAAGAAATAAATTGTTTACTTGGTTGATATTATTAGACGAGAAAAAGATGTAACAATTAAAACTAATTGTGAAGGAGAACATATTGACTGTTAATTATTTCAAATATTTATACAATTAACTTGATTCCCCAACTTAATCACTTTGGTTCTCACGTCATTATTTCCATAGTTAATTGTCTTTGTCCAACTGTTACGATGTTTTACTGGTTCATATTTTTATTTTCCAGCTTCGTGGTCATGTAAGAATTAATTTTCAATCAGTTAATTGTTGACTCGATCTTCTTTCATTTCTTTTTTCAGCTTCCAGCGTTGGAGATACAACTATTGGAGCAAATTTGATGTTAATGGACCGTTTCCTGTTCCGTTTCTAGGAACATCTTACCTTTACCTATGGAAACCAATTCATGTCGTTGAAAGTGAATTAGTCAAACAATTTGGCTCAATTGTCGGGTAAGAAACTCTTGACCCACTCAATATGTCGATAAACTGTCAACAATTCATATATCATTAATAATTACATCATATTAGATATCTGATTAGTTTATTTGTTCTTAATTTTTGTTGAATTAGACTTTATGAATCTCAACCAGTTATTGATGGTCAGTGATGAAGAAAGATTAAACTTCTCAAAGTGTTAGTTTTAATCGTTGATTTTTTTTCGTGGAATTAATTAGTCTTCAACTTATTTTTCCGAAATGGAAATTAATTATCAATTAACTGTTTAACTTAAGATTATTTATCGTCTGTTGAAAATTGGTTTATGACTGTCAACTCAGAGGATTCACTTTTAAATAGTGTTGACAGTTTGATTTTGAATCCCATTCTTCTGACTTGATTTGATTATTTTTCTATTGATCTTCCGTACGTTTAAAATCTTTAATTTTACTTTTAATTTTCAATTGTTTTCCATTTTCTTTGGGGTGGTTCCTCATTTAACTGTTCATTTAATTTAAGCTTTACTAAATTATATTTAGTTTAAAAAAAGAAAACAACTACTAACGATAGAATATGTGGTGGAAGAGCTTTTGAAATTTTCTCTATTCAATGGACTGAACAAGCCAACTTTCTTATTGCTTAAAGGTTTAGGTTATTCTATTATTGTTGCTTCATCTTTAATCAAATTACCGCAACTTTTCAAGATTACTGGTGCTCGTAATTCCGCTGGTATCAATTTCTATGGCCAAGCACTAGAACTGTTTGCCTATTCTCTCAACTGTGGCTACTCTTTTGCTAAAGACTATCCATTTAGTGCCTGGGGTGAATCATTGTTTCTCTTGGTTGAAAATTTTCTCATCTGTCTTGCTGTTCTTTTCTACAACAATCAAAAATTGAGCTGTTTAATTTTCTCATTTCTTTACACTCTAAGGTAAGTTGACATAGAATATTAGCAAAATAAAATGTACACAAATTGGAGACTAATCATTTGGAAAATTGTTTTTCATTTTAGCTTCGGAGGTTTGATGTCTGGTCTAATTCCCATTGATATTTTGTGGTACCTTCAATCATTAAATTTACCTCTAGCAATCGGTGGTAAGATGATCCAAGGAATCAGTAATTACAGAAATGGACACACTGGTCAATGTTCCGCTATCACAGCTACTTGCCTTTTCCTTGGTTGTATCGCTCGGATATTTACCACAATCCAAGAGACAAAAGATAATCTAATGATCGTTAACTTCACCGTTGCATCGATGGCGAACTTTATTCTCGTCTCTCAAATCTTTTACTATTGGGAAAATACTAACAAATTCTTGGCCAAATCAGCCAAGAAAAAGAAGAAGTAAACTAGTTGATGAAAAATCATGAAACAATTAAGTTCCCAGCTCGAAGCAAATTGAAACAATTATTAAAAACAATTAACTGTCATCATTACAATGAATTCAATAAGGAAACAAAACTCAAAATCTGAGTCCATTTTGTATATCAAAGTAAAACAAGAAACACAAAAAAAGTTACTTAATCAGTTGCTTAGTAAATTTTGAGTACATGAAGATAAAAGTGCAACAATTACAAGTTTTTCTTATTACTAAATTAAATCTCTCATTTTGGATAAATTTTATTTTCTTAGCTAATTTTTTTTTTCTTTCAATTTGGTTCAGTCTTTTTTGTATCTTTTTCTTCATTCAATTAATTAGTTGAGAAAAAGATTCATTAACGATTTAATCGTTAAAACTAAAATAATTGATGAGTAATTAAATATTTAGAGTTGATCAAAAATATGGATGGAAAGTAATCAAAAGAGGAAATGGAAAAAGTGTCAAGTAGATGATTAAAGAAGATAAACAATTATGTTTCTTATCGTCTTCTCTTAACAGCTGATTACTTATCGCCTTAATTAGTAACATTATAAATATTGTGATGGACATTTTCAATTAATCAAATGATGTGACTGATTTTTTTTTGAGTTTTCCTGTGTAAGTTTTTTTTTCAGGCTTTAGGGTGAATATGAAGATGATGAATTTTAGATTTTCATGAAATGGTTGAACAAAAAAAAACAATCAATATCAAAAACATGAAAACTAAACGTAAATGAGGTTAATTTGGTTTGGTGAACAATAATTAATTGTTACTGTTATGTTTCCATGCCTGAAGATGTAGCATCATTAGAAGCTGTTGTGATCACTTGTGTAAGGTTAATGTTGCTACTTGTTGTTGAGTTAATTACTGATTGATTTACAATCATTGAGTTGTTGGTTGATTGGTTTACTAGTTGAAAATTGTCAAGGTGACTATCAACTTCTGATTCATTCATAGTTTGATCGGTCATCATTAGGGAGGGTTGACCATCTTCTTTAATCTCATCATCAGGTGAGAAGATAACGTCAATAATTGATTGGGGTAAATGAGATCTCTGGGTATCCGTGAAGGAGGAAACATGTTCCTGAAGAGTGGGCTTAAAGTCAGGAGCATTTCGAAAAACGGTTCTTAATTGAGGAGCTGGAAGTTGTAATAGAACTTGAAAACTTTGAGGTTTTGTTCGTTGACAACATTTGATAAAACCTTCCCAAACTTTTTTCTGATTCCAAACTTGCTTAAGTATAAGTCTTTGTAATATATTCATGACAAAACCTAAAAGACGAGGATGGAGGGACAGAGATTGTATCACGGTTCTCATTAGGAGAGTGGGGAGCGGATTTTGCTCCATTAGTAATTGCATCACAACAGCTAATACTTCAGCAGTGTAAATATGTTTCTCGGCAAAGCATAAACCAATAGCTAAAATAGAATAATAAAAGAAACGGAATGAAAAAGAAATTAAAAGAAACAATTAGATTATTATAAATTAGACGAAGGTCATAATTTCGTTCCGGTTTCCTTAGGAAAAGAAATCAAATTTTGCAGTTCGGTTCATGGGAATACCTTTCATCACGGTTTTCATATCACATTTTGAAGGGTCAATATTATGTAAAGCGACTAAAAGATCAGCAGCAGTTAAAGGACTTTGGTAGTTTTGTCCAGATTCAACTAAAGAAAAAGAGAAAGATTAATGTTTAAAATTTGAATTGAATAAAAGTTCCAGGAATATGTAAAAATTACCCTGAGTTCCTAAAAGCCTATTGAAAACTTCTTTGACTACTAGTTGATTGAGTTTAATTAGTTTAGGCAGTGCGGCGATCACTTCTCTCTTGGATAGACCATTAAGAACAGGAATGAGAAATCTAACATCAGGCACTCGTTTATGGTAAAGATCACGAACACGCGAGACCAGTTCAGCACTTGGAGGTTGTTTGTCTGTTAAAACGTGAATAATTCGGGTTACAAGAGTTTCCGCTCCTTTGGGACAAGTCTCGACAAGAAGAAGTAGTTCCGGCGAGTCCATTCCCATTCCTTTAACGGGTGTATCAAGAACTCGAAGTATTACTCGTTTAATGTCCGGAATTGTGGACACATAAACTAGTGCAAGGTCGTGCATTAATTTATGATTATTGGGAAGTAAACAGAGATAGGGAAGTAGAAATATTTTGATGACATCTTCCGTCCATGTGGACTCGGGTTCTCCTGGCGATGGGTCTAATAGTCTTCTAAGTTTTTCCAGAGAAAATTTCTCGATTGGTTCTTTAATATCAGTTCCATAAGTTTCGTGGAGATATTTTATCACCTTGACTGCTTGTGATCTAACCTCAGGTTTATCGACAAGAATGGAAAGATTAAGCAAAACCGATAAGGTTAAAGGTCGTAGTTTGACCTTTTTCTCGATTAGTGTTTGAAGAATTGAAAATCCTAATGTTACTCCATTGTAACTCGTCTCTCGAGTGATCATCTCCTCTAATTGATTGATTACTTCGGGTGTCAGAAGAGGAACTTCAAAGAAAAATCTCGGTAAAAAGTGATCTCGATCTCTAACATCAACACGTCCGATCATCTCTTTCATCACGGATGATAAACATTTCTCATAATGAGATAAATTTCCACCATTCTTTTTAGCGACAACATACTCATTGTAGACAAGATTAAAAAGAAGTTCAACTCGATTACGAATATCTTCAAATGCATACGTACGAACCAAAGTTGCCACGTTAAAAGAATGATCATGAAATTCGGTTGAAAGTAGAGTTAAAATTTTGTTTCGACTTTCAAGGTGAGATGGACATGTGATTTGTTTCCGTTCTTCAGCTTGAATAATTCGACTCACAGAATCGGCAATCATTCTTACTTTCATATCATCTGAAAGTTCGGTTGTTGTCTCTTCAAAATTCAACTGTTTCACCTTAACCGATCCACCCAAAGTTTTACCGGTGGGCATTAGTTTCTTAACCTTATTCTGATTATTAACATGTTGTGCTTGTTCTTGTTTCTTTGCTTCCTGAGCAATCCCACGACTTACCAGTGTCGCTATTTTCTGATACTGTTGATCAGTTGAATTTTGGGTCTTCTTTGCTTTAGCCACGGCAGCGGCTTTTTCGACCATCTCTTCAACTCCTTTGCCTGAGAGGGAAAAATAATATACAAAAAGAGAAAAGAAATAAAAATAATTATTGGAAATAATTAGTGAAAATCAGTAAATGAAACTGAATATAAAATCTATGAAAGATAAAATAACATAATAAATATTTGTTGATAAGATTAACTGGTTGCTAAACTATTATCTTAATTGTTATTGATTCTTAAGTATTCGAAAGCCGGAGGTTTGGACTAATGTTTAAATTGTGATGGAAGATAAAATGTTACAAATGTTTGATACTCTTGCTCGAGTTCTAGATAAAAGATTCTGAGAGTGCGACTTTGCTGCGTTTGAAAGTTTTTTTGTTTTCATTGTTGTTTTGGTTTCCCATTGAATTTTAAATTGATTGATCTGCAATTAAAGCTGTTTAAATGGAGAAAATTGTGTAGAAAATTATTATTCTGAAAAAATGATATAAATACTTTACCTATACCAGTTGAGGTGAATTGAGTTGACAGTAAACGGGCAAGATGTTTGATCTGTGAAGGTGTACCGGCAGCGGCGACTGGAGTGTAAGAGGCCTGAAATTGGGCAGGCATGGAATCGGGTAGGGAAAGTAAAGATACTAGGACAAGATCACAGACATTGGCGATATTATTTAAACAGGGGATCAGGTCTTCAGAGGTAATGTCAATGGCTGTATTAGCATCATTTCGAGTAACTTTGGGAGGAGGTAAAGGGGCAACGATTGTAGAGGGTTCAAGCTTTTCTTTAGGGATGTTATTACTATCAACATCCGGTTCCAGTTTAATTTTTTTAGGTTTAGGTTCAATATTGACTTGGTCAACCTTTAATCCTCTTTTTCGAACCTCTTGGAGACATTTGTATACATCTGATTGACCAGCTCCAAGATCATTTAAAAGTTGAATTATTTGTGATTGAAATTGTGTATTAGTTGCTGCTGCTGGATGTTTGAGTAACAGAGTCAATTGTACCTTTAACTGTTTCCGTACCGAAGTTACTTGTGAACTTGCCAAGGTTGGAGGTAAATTAGCATGTAAAGACTCAAGAGCTTGTATAACTTTGGATAGAAAACGATCAGATCGTTGTCTAGCTATTATTACAAGAGTTTGCATGGTGGTCATCAGATTTACACTCGAAATATGAGGTGTTCCATGGAAAATGAGCAACTGTTCAAAAACATAATCAGCTTCTTCTTCCAATTGTTCCAGATTAACCAATTTACAATTTTCTATTGAATCCAAGCTTAATTCCTTTGTCTCTGACCATTGATCACGTTTGGTTTGTGAAATAACTACCATTTCCATAAATTTAATACATTGGGTTCTAACACCATCATTTTCCGAAGCATCAATCAGGCTAAAAATGTACCTTTTAATATTCCCCCAAACTTCATTGGTTTGCTCAAGAATCTCATTAACATTAGCCTTTGAGGCCCATTTAAGAAATTTGGGATACAAAAGAGTCGAAACCTGTATACCTTTTTTAACTACATGGGGACTTGAATCATTAAGAGCATAATGAAGATTAACAATTAATTTGGGGAAAAACTCGGCATCCTTGCTACATGCAGCTTCAATGAAATTTACCATAAATTTTCTAACCTCAACCATTGGATCATTTTGAAAACCAAGAATCTCATCTGTGGAAAGAAAAGAGAAAAGAAAATAGAAGATCCAACAAAAAGATCGAATTAATCAGATACAAAATTGAGAAGACTCAATCGTACAATTTATACCAAATTGATGATGGAAAAAATGGAAGAGAGGAAGAGAGAAATGAACAGGAAGAGAAACAAGGACAGATAGTGAGAGAGAGAGAAAGGCTTACCTAAAAAATTATCCACCAAATCATTATGAATAACATACTCTTGAACTTTACATAAATTGACCACTTTCTCTTTATCAGTTGAAGCTAAAATCGCTTCATTCAAAAGATCAACAACCATGTTGTTTTTGGTCAAAAGATCGTTTGTTGTTGTGGCCATTTTTGTTTGTTAATTCATCAAGAAAGATTTTAATTTAAATAATAAATAGAGAAGAAAAAATATCAACAATCATCTATCGAAAAGAAAACAGGAAATTGAGTTTAGAGAAAAATCCGCTTGGGTCGCACTTTCGAATTTCTATTTTCTCCTCTGTCTTTTTCTCTTTCGTCTCTTTGCCTGACAGATTCATTTTCTTTTCGTGGAAATAGCTCATTCCAACTAAGCTTCTATTTCCACAGCAGATTAATTGTGAACAATTTTTTTTCTCTCTCATTTATTAATTTTATCTCTTTCTTTCTGAAACGTTTTTCTACAATTTTTGTTTATTCTAAATTGTGAATGTTTTCCATTTCTACAGCAAAAATGAGAGAATGACGAATAGAAATGCTACTAAAATCTACCGGAAGAAACTTGTACCACACCCAAATCTATATTTATAAAAAGTGCTCATCAATTCATATTTGGAATATGTAATGAAAGATATTAACATGAATTTGAAGCTTCCATGATTTAGTTCATGGAAATAGTTTAGCAATATGGTAAACATGATGATTAGAATTGAACTGAGTTTATTGCTGAATTTGAAAGGCTTTTAATCAGTCAATTCAATTGGATTGGCCTCTTTGGCCTAACAAGACCTCACAAAGCTACAGGGGAAAATGGCGGCGATGTTATGATAAAGAAAGAAAATTTCTTATTTCCTATCTGATGGTCTTTAATCTGATCAACTGGTTTGAATTAATTAAGATCAACTATTAGTTGTGTAGTGAGATGTTTAATTGTGATGATCCATTTGCTGTCAATTTTATAATTGGTTTGCAATTACTTTTCATATGATGAAATGCTTCAGGTTATTATAGAAATTGAAGTTTTTTCTTCTTCTCTAATATAGAAATTTAAATGAATTTTTCATCCTTTTAATTCTGATAATTGATTAGATTCGGAAGAAAATGAATCAAGTGATATTTCTTTTCGTTTCTCTGTTGTAATAATTTATTTTGTTCTATTCTGTTTATGGTGAATGAGCAGAATTTGATTCTTTTGTAGTTTCGAAACAATTTATTGATTAGTTGATTAAATTTCGTTTATTTTTTATGCAATTTGTTATTTGATGGATGATTTTGTGAGAGAGAAAAACAAAATTGATACAATTACAAAATTTGTGAAGTTATGGTTTTACAAAGATGAATGGAAATGTTTGATTTGTTGACAAAAACGCAAAGAAAAAATGTTAATCCAAATTAATTGTAATTAAAGTGAATGTTTAACATTCACAAGAATTTTTTTTCTTTAACTGATCAGATTTACTAATCACTTGTTCATTGTTAGTTAAAATCACTTGTTTCGATTCAATTGTTGAACTTTGATTAACAATCGTAGGAGTATTTCCATTGATCTCCAATTGATTAGTACGATTATGATTATCCAAAGTTCCCATGATCTAATTAAAGATAATTTTGAAACATAATTAAGTCCATGCAAACGGAAAGAGACAATCAATGAATCAAGAAAAAATCATCAGCTACTAATTACCTCCTTAATCAACAATTTGGTGGCTTCTTTAACTCCAATATTTTCAGCGGCCGAAACATAAAACCAATTAGAAAAACCATTTTCTTTACTGAAACAATCAAGTTTTGATTTATCATTGGCAATTCCAGTTCTGTCAAGTTCACACTAAGGTAGAAAGAAAGAAATTAAAATTAACAAAAGAACATAAATAAAACAATTAACAAGACAATCAAAGCAATAGTAGTAACAATTAAAGGAACTCATATTGTGTCTCTATAATTGATCAACAAGTATTTTCATCACCAAATGAAACTGTCAACAAATTAACTACAGCTGATTGAGAAAGATACAAAGTAGACACTGATGATGATGATGATAGACTTAAATTGATTGTAACAATTTAAATGAAGTAAATTTCTACTCCTCTTTCTCGGGCAACTGTACTTGTATCTTGGGTACACTTGTAATAATAAATATCAAGGATGATGAGGTTGATTCATGATGATTAGTTAACTAAGGGATCATTTGGAGAGGAATGAAAATATTTGGAAGAAAAATAAAAAATGATGATAATCAATGATGATTAAGAGATAACCTTGTTCACCAGTAGTAATGAAGGAACCGGTTGTCCATCTTCCAATGTAACTTTAGAATCAAAATCTTTTTTCCATTTAATTGCAGAATCAAATGAATCCGGATTAGTGGAATCAGTGATCACAAATGAACCCGAAGCACCTTTATAATAGACTCTGGTCAGCGAAGCAAATCTGTCCTGTCCAGCGATGTCCCAAAGTTGCACAATTATCTCAATATCGTCGTTCCAGACAATCTTTTTAAGAGCGAAATCAACACCAATCTGTAATTCAAATATAGAACAATTAACATTGAACAGACAAAGAGAAAAAACAAAACAAAACTAATTAGAGCAAAAGATGAAGCAGAAGAAGAGATTAACAATTAGATTTACAATTAATCACCACAGAGAAAAACAAAAAAAACAAAATGTCTCCAACTCTATAATGGTTATGTAATCCTTTTTGAAGACAAAGGCCTAAGGCTTAACACACCCAAGGGGCGAATGAAAGTTAATTTGGATGGACTGATTTTCACAGATTTAAATTGTAATCAGTGTAATTAATTGGTGATTTACTTACTGTTGCTCTATATTGTTGTGAAAATAAATTGTGAACATAACGTTTAATTATACTGGTCTTTCCAACGGAAACTTCACCAATTACCAATATTTTGAATATTTTTTGTTCTCTAGGTTTTTCTTGATAAACAATTGATTGTTCATTTGTTGATTCCAATGGTTTTTTAGGTGTTGGTAAACGATGAATTGGCTAATTAATTGTAAACAATAATCAACAATTAAGTAAATTGTGTAAATTAAAAAAGAAAAGAACAAAGAAAAAGAGAAAAAAATGAAAATGAAATTAGAAAAACGAAAACAAAACAAATTAAGTGAACACATTGAGACGAAGGTTTCACTTTGTGTCAATAGAAGGAGACATTGGAATATCAGTTGATTACTTTTTCGAACAATTAATTTGGAAAAATTAAAAACGTACCATTACTATTACGATTAAATGAACGACTAATTGTTGGTGGAAAAGTTTAAATAGTTAATAAAGTGATCATTGACAAGTGAATTGGAAAATGAAAATAAACAAAATGAAGAATCAAAAACCAGTCCCATAAACGAGAGTGAGTGAAATTGGATAGGAAAATCCTTGAGAATTTAAATTATCAGAAACTAATTTAGAGAAACTTGTTAATTATCATGATTTAATCTTCAATAGAGAATTTGAATTTCATATCATCTCCCAATTATAAAGTTCAATGTTAACGAAATAATAATATATTGTTGATCTGTTGTAACGTGCTGATGATGAGGGAAACAAGAAAATCAATCACAATCAACTAATTGCGCTCACAATTAGCGAGAGTAACAAAAAGTGGATAAATTTAGGTGAAAATTAAGAATCGTTATCATGACCATTAATTATCTTGGACATTGCTGACCAGGTCAATGGTATATTAGTAAAAACAATCAAGGATCCATTTGTTATCCAATGATAATGATAATTAGATTTGTATTATTAGTTGATAACAATCAAATGAACAAGAAAATGAATTAACAATCAAGAGTCCACCTCATTTTGGGTCATTAAACATGGAGGAGGAAATAAGGATGATTATAAAATATGAATAGAAAAAGGTTAAAAATCAATCATAACAATTTGACCCAATTAACCCAAAAATCTAATAAAACAATTAACACGACAAAAACAACAACAACAAACAATCAAAATGCAATTTAAAGTTACATTTGATAAGTAAATAGTTTGGGTCATTTAGAATCATGATTCTAACTGTAATTGATCAATGAAAACTTTTTAAGGTTAAACAGTAACACTAAATTTTATGTATTAATGATCAAATAGCCTCAGGGTAATTTAATTGATTGTTGGTTTGTTGGTAAATGAAACAACAACCAAAATTCAAGACAAGTTTTATCAACATAACAATCAACTTGCCAAATGGGAATTGAAATGATATCAAATTGGTCAAAAGTGACCATAGGAGAAGAAGAAAAAAATAAGGTCAGTTACTATGAAAGAAAGATGAAGATAAAGATGATAAAGTAGAGAGAGAGAGAGAGAGAGAGATGTGATGATGAAGAAGAAAATAGAATGTGATATTTGCGAGAATGAAGAAACTCTTGTTTTCTTTTCTTCTTCCTTTCGGTTGAACATTCTCAGTTCGAGAATAAGGAAGAAGATAAATGAAGATAAAAGAAAGAGAAACATTTTCATCATCCTTATCTTCATCATTCTCTTTCTTTTCCGGAGTTACTTTTTTATTCATCTTTCTTTCTGCCTCCATCCACAGGGAATGCTCATGAAGATGATAACAACTGAGTATGTCTGATTAATGGAAGAAGAAGAAGAGAAAAAAAATAAAGATGATGAGGATGATGAGAGAGAGAGACTATTGGTATTCCTGAGCTTTTATCATGAAAAACAAATTCTTTGACTCAGAATCATTGAAATAAACAGAATTGAGCTGAAATCTTCACTCAATTTTCTGTTATCATACTTAACCCTCTTATTTTTTTTCCATTGTTACGATAATTCAGTCAATCAAAAGTTATCAGGAAATACATTGTGTCTAAATTACCATCATCATCTCTAACCATCCATAATTAGTAGTCTAAATTATCAACAATCAATAAATTGTAACAACAATCTCGAGGAAAAAAATATCTGGTTCCTTGTTTATGTTATCATTTTATTTTCATCTTATCAAAACAATCTCATTCTATCAGCCATTTAAATATTTGCCTTCCTTATGACAGTTCACCTGAAACTGTCATCATCTTCATCTTCATCATCAACAGTTTCATCTTTATCTCCATCATCATCATCATCATCATCATCTATCAACAGTAACAACGTGCCTATTACATTATCTAATGATACATATGTATTTTCAAGTGATTCCGTGAGTGTTTACATGAATCATTGTTATTAAATTATTTCCATTCATTAAGAGTTAATTTCACACCCAAATAATTAGATAATCATTAACAATTATCCATCCAGGAAATTTGAATAATTTAATTGGAATCAACTTTAAATCAACATTAAACTAAATGTAAATGTTTACTTTCCATCCACAAGTTAAATTATCGAGATTTAAAGTTTGCAGAAATTTTTTCTTCCTCTTGATTAATCA